CAGCACATCAGGCTGAGAAGCTCTGACCAGCAAGCAGTTCCCCGGCTCGCTCGGCTCAGGCGGGAGGCGAGGGGCGTAGGTTGTGACTTGGGGCGGAGCGGGAGCGCCTGGCCACGCGCCGCGACTGCCGGGCGCAGACAGTGCCGCCTTTCAGCCGCGCGAGCAGTGTCCGCCGCACCGGTGACCAGCCGCGCCTACTTTCTGTGGCACCGGGAAGCTGGCTGGAAGGTAAGAAAAGTTGGGGCCCCAACTTCTGGGGGCTAGATCCCCGCAAAGCCGGCATGGGTGTCCTTTGAACGATTTTTCCTGCTGCTCCCAATCCCCAGAGCCTTGGAAAGTTGTAAGGGTGGAGGCAGGGCTCGGCAGCCTTACCGTTTCCTCCGGGCAAGGGACCAAGAGGGAAGATCCTGTGCTTTCAGGTTAACTGTCGGGTGAGGTGGCTGGGCTGCATCTTTCAGTATACCAGACACTGGAGAAATTCTCCCAGGGGCAATGGCTTTACTATTCTAGGCTAGAACTTTCTTGCTACCGTGGGCATGCTTACAAGTTGGTTAAATAAGGCTGGGCTTTGCTGTCCGGAACAAACAGGCCTTTTCTCAGGTGGGAGGTGAGAGTGTGATTAACCCGCTTCTCAGCCTTTATGAAAAGGCCTACAGTCTAGCCAGATGGCGCTGCCAAGGGGCCCCTCCTCCGTTGTCAAAGCTCCAAGCTCCAAGCTCATTTGAGCAGAAGTGGGAGTACAAGGGGCCTTGGCTCCTCTGCTCTGAAAACAAATCCAGTGGTGAGCTGTTAAACTTTCCTCAAGTAATTGGAAACTTCTCTGCCTCTCCCGCATGGTGCTGTCAAGGTTATAAATGGTCTTAGAGCTAGCAAGGAAAGTCAGAGTCCAAGGCGGGAATTTACTTCCTCTACATGGCCGTCCAGATTAACTAATTTCCAGCTAGTATGGCTTATACTTTTTTTAGACATTTTTAAAGACTAAGTTTGCATTAGAAAACGTAATGTTAGTGCAACTTTATTGACAACTGGATACTTGTGTCACACCAAAATGGCATATGTCATGTGATTCATAAACTCTCTTAATGCTGAGGTGTCTATTTTAATAGTCCAGATGGGCTGAAGTAATACACTACTTCCATCTGCCTTATCCCCAAATATACCATCCTAAAAGGAAGAAGCAAGTGGACTCTGGATTTATTTACCTTCTTCTGCTTGGGCCGGAGAATGGACTTGTGTTCACAGTGGGTGTGGTGTATCATCTCTATTTTTATCTTGACTACACTATTTTTCTCAGCACATTTCCTTCAGGGTTTATATAGCTTTTTACATATCCTGTATCTTTAGAAGCAGCACCCACTGTTAGAATAAAGGGTACATATTTGGGTTTGCATATAAATAATATTTGAAAGCTTTAAGATTTGAAATCTACTATATATAGATGTCTGGTTGTTCAGTACTAGTGGAAAACAGAAGAATATGTGACATTATAAATTGAGACTGGAAGAAAAGGTTAATAAGAGAGATGTGGGAGAGGTTTACTGTAGTTATCAGAAGGCAAATTCTGATATTTTAGGTTGAAAGGACTAAGTACATAATTCTCCCCAAAAGTGGGATGTGGACTTCAGAGTCAAGAACTGCTCACTATCTCTGTGATGCGCTAACCAGGCAGCACAAATTTTGGGCCTCTGGCAGTATGTTTTCCCCCTATCAAGTCAGAGGCCTCTTGAGATTTTAGCATATTTCTTTAAACCTTTGTGTGTGTGTGTGTGTGTGTGTGTGTGTGGTGTTAGGGATTGAACCCAGGGTATTGTGCATGCAAGGCAAGCACTCTTTATACCTTAAGAGGAGTCATTATGACAAATTTTCCCTGGACCCTTCTCCTATAACAAACCTTTAGCAGATTCTGTGGCCAGGTCCCTTTAAAAACAGTTTCCATGCTATCTCTGATCATTCTAAACAGAGGCCTTTATGATAATGCCAGTTTGATTTAACTTCCATACTGAAAAATTGCTCAGTCCTGATTAAGAGTTTGACGTAGTTGCATTCTTTTCTCCCAAGGAGGAGACTATAAAAAGTGTCTTTTTTTTAAAACAAATAATTTAGCAAATCAAAGGTTTGCATGTAAATAGTCTTTGAAATATTTAAGATTTGAAATTTACTGTAGATAGATGTCTGATTGTACAGTATTAGTGGAAAACAGAAGAATATGTGCCATAATAAGTTGAGAATGGAAGAAAAGTTTAGTAAGAGATGTGGGAGAGGTTGTTTTTTTGCCTCCCCACCACCAACTTACTTCCTAATGAAACAAGTAAGAAGAATTGGCGGACAAATTTTGAACAGAATGATAAAGAACAGGGAACTGAAAGTCAGAGATGGTCATATTCACAAGCTAATCTCTTTGTTTAATCGCTCCTCTGTTAGTGAAGTGAAACCCAGATTAAGAATAGTTTTGCAATTTAGAGAAAAAAGAAAAAAAAAGGTGGTTTTGTGCGTCTGTAGTTTTCAGAGTAAAAACAGTAGCTGAAGAAAATCTGGTTGGCCGCTAAACTAAAAGTGGATGCTTCCCTGCGGGGAGACTGTTCTCTTTGGCTGAGGCCTAGAGTCTGAGTTCCATGTGTCATTTCCGAAGGACTCAATGACTAGAGAGTTCTAATACTACTGATAGGGCTCATAGAGAGATGTAATTTTATTTCCAGACTTTTATTTATTTATTTATTTTTATCAGACTTGGAACACGTTATTTAGTATCCAATGTTTCAAGCCGTTTTTTTTTTTTTTTTTGGCTTGTTTGTTTGTTTTGGCAACCATCTGGGTTTTTCCTTCCCATTTTTTTTTCTCAGCCCACTTCTGTCTGAGCTGCTGACTTCTGTCATCTCTTTCCAGCTTGGGCCTCAGCCCCCTTCTCCCTGATATAGAAGAGACTCCTTTAGAGGCACATTGCACGTTTGTCTTTCCCCTCAGTCAGGTGAGCTGCTTCCTTTATTCCTCTTTGAAAGTTAAATATTTTTTTTCTCCCCTTGAATACATCTTGGCAGTTTCAGCCTAAAACATCTGTCAGGCAATAATTGGTAACTTGTGAGGCTGGAGATTCTGGCAAATTGACCTTAGTGTAATAATTCTAAAAGTCTCACAGTTCAAATGGTGGGCATAAAAAAAAAAATCATATCACCTATTCCAGCTAGAGGGATCTAAAGATGGGGCAAATCTAGGTACTATCATGACACTGAGGTGGGCAAAAATTGTGTGGTTAGGAAATGCCATAATTCCAGCTGTCTTTCCCAGCCTTAACTGCATTTGGAACCCTGTATAATATGAAACTGCAAAATGGAGCTTTCTTTGTACTTATCTCTGCCCCAGAGAAATGATTCTTCATTACATTTTCAAAAGGAGTGTGGCTTGTTAAGAACAAGCACTTTTAAGACATACAGCTCTACTTCTCCTTTCTTGGTAGTCTGAGGCAACAAAGTGGTTGGAGACGGAGGGGGGACAGGATGTTATAGGAACCTTGTGGCATGGTTGTCTTTAGGGAAATTCCTGGAAGATTAACATGTTCATTTTTTATGGGTGGCTCTATTGGAAAATGAAAAGTCCCTTTGGTTTTTCTTCAGGGAACTTCTTAGGATATGAATGATTGCATTATTTTTGTTCTGAGAGAGATGCTGAGAAGGTAACCAAAGTTGACTTCTTTGTCTCCCCACCACCAACTCAGCTCCCTTCAGTTGGGGCCGAACTACTCCAGACCCTCAATTGATTGGACATTGTTTTCCTTTCCTTCTAGAAAACCATGAGGAAATTAGTTAATAGTATAGAAATTGGAGTGAAAAAGTCACGTGGAAGTCGTTAGGATTGTCCCAGAGTCTTCCATCCGCTGTCCTGCCCCTGGCACTCTGCCTGGCTGATGGGGCCAGGACCCCTGAATGTTAGTCTCTATACTTATCTGCCTCCACTCTCCATCCCCCACCACCACACAAACTAAGGGCAAGGAAATATCTGATTGCCTGACACATATTAGGCTCTTTCTTTTTGAAATAGCTTGACCCATCATGAAAACTCAAGGATTCACATGTTAATTACTATATGAAGAAAATGAAAAACTTGATGAAGAAAATTAATATCACCTATAATATACTTCATGGAGGCTACCAGGTTTGACTTTTGCTTTTGTTTTCTGGTTTTTACACTTTTAGACATTTTGAAATGTCTACATATAGACATTAAAAAAAATGGAATCCCATAGTATTTATTTTCTAACTTAAAAAAAATCAGTCATAGACATTTTCAAGTCAGTACACAGTTATGAAGAGGGCTGCAGTCAGTATTTTTGTAACCATCTTTTTAACCAGTTATTTTAAAGTTTAAGTATAGATCCACAGGTGTTTGATTCCTAGACCAGAGAAACTCTTTTAGAATACTGCCCGAGGGTCCTTCAAAATTTACATATCTTTCAACAAGGTTTTTTTTACCCCACTCTTGATAAATAAAAATTAAGAGATTTTTCACCAGATTGTTAATGAATTTTTATCCAATGTTTTGTTCAGATCCTTTACCTGTTTTTGTGTTGGGTTGTATTTTTTAAAAAAATTAGTAGTCTGGAACTTTCTGTAGGTCATAGACAGTAGAGATTTGCCTGCTTATACAGATTGCAGGCTTTTTCTCTCATCTTTTGACTTAGTGAAATTTTAGATTTTTATTTTAAGGTCTATCAGTCATTTTCATGGCTTCTGAATTGTAGTTAGGCATATTATTTTAAAAATTCTCTATCCTTTACTACCAATTTTGTTATTTACTATGTCTAATAATTTTTTGGGATTCATTTTGAGGGAAGATTTTAGCTCTCTCCTAAACAAATAGCAAATTATGATAATAATTCATTGTAATTCATTTGGAAATACATAAGAAATAATGGATAAAACAAAATAAAATTTCTATCACTTTTTTTAGTCAGTTAAATAACCTAGAATCCTCTCAATTGTCTTGCCTAAGCAATAGTTGAATATATTTTAATTCCTTTTTTCATATCAATATTTTAAACTTTCTATGATTGTGTTATTAATATTGTTCTCATTATTTGATCTAAAGGGTACTTACTGAAGTATAGACTCATGTAGTCAGGGTTGTTTTCTTATTCACGGACTCATTTTTCCAAGAATTATTCCCTTGGACCTGTTCTGTGTTAGGTAGTCCTCTGTGTACTGTGGTGTATAGTTAGGAGCTAGACAGGAGCTTGGTGAAGCTCTCTTGTAGGGAAGACCCACAGAGACTGTGTCTCAATCATGAAGGTAACAAAGGAATAGGAGAGACAGAGGGGAAGGCCATATGTAAAGGAGTGTGAGTCCTCCCTAAAAAGGTAACATTGGAACTGAGACGTGAAGGATGGTGAGAAGGAGCCAGATAAGTGAAGAGCTGGGGAAAGAGCAAGAGGGTGGTTGAAAGAGCAGTGTAAAACCCAGAATGGGGGATGTCCCAGTGCCAGGAATGCAGCCATGGTGTACTGAGGAAGTGGAAGAGGGTAAGAGAAGGTGAGGGTGGAAGGAAGTCTTTTAGGCAATGGTCAGGGTTGAACTTTATTCTGAGAGTAGGGGAAAGTCCCTAAAGTGTTTGAAGTATGGAAATGACGTCGACTTGTGAAATTAGTTAAAATTATTTAATCAATTTCCCCTTTAGCAATGATGTACATTGGGAAGCCGTTGCTGTTTTTAGGTAAGAAATGATGTGTTTTGGCCAGGGCAGCTGCAGTGGGAACAGAAAGATGGAGACTGAAGTTGAAAATAGAGACTCAAGTTCATAGCTCAAGTTGAAGTAAGACTTGATAAACTGGATGTGAGAACTGAAGGAAAGGAGAAATGGAAGAGTGCTGTAGAGCAGTGGTTTCTTCTGCACATGAAAATCACCTGGGAGGCTTATTAAACCCTGATGCCCAGTTTGTCCCTTAGACCAGTTAAACCAGAGGGTGAAGGGGCTGGGAGCCATGCAGAAGTTCTGTAGAGCTCCCCAGCTGATCCTACTGCACAGGTAAGGTGGGGAACCACTGAATGCACTATGGTTAACAACTGAAGCACTTGAATGGATGTGTTTAGATCATTGCATTAAGAAGATGGGTGGAGGACAGGTTGAGAAACCTATTAGACATGCATATGGAGTTTCAAGGAAGGGGCTGGATAAGGGAATCTATTCAAAAGAGAAGTTTTCTGGAGATGCAAATGTAAAAGTTCCCACCAGGAAGACTGTATTTAACGTCACAGGGTGGGACAAGCTCTTCTAAAGAATGGAGAATAGAAGAGCTGTGAACTCTGCCCTGACATCTAAAGGTCAGATGAAAGAAGAGCCAGCAAAGAAGACTGAAAGGGGCCCAGTGAGGTAGGAAGAAAGCCAGAGGAGCAGAGTGTTCTAGAAGCTGAGAAGCAGTTGTGTCAGGGAGGTGGTGGTCAGTGGCATCAAACACTGCTGAGCCACCAAGCCCAAGAAGTGTTCATTGTAATCCACAGCAGGTGATGTTTACTCTGAACAGCGTCATTGGAGTAATAGAAATGGATGTCCAATGTTTGTTCTAGAGGATCTGAAGCACAAAGGTACCTTGAATAAGGTAAATTCTGTGTTCACTCCGTCAGATAGCCTTACGTGTGTGTGTGTGTGTGTGTGTGTGTGTGTTTGCATGTGTGTGTTTCTCATTTTTAATAATATGACCATGTAGAAACCTCCTGAATTTATGGACTAGAATACTTATTTGTCAAACATTTTCAAATGAGAGAAGTTATATTTGAACCTACCAGTTTTTTCATTACTGACTATATTATTGGCTATTACTTCTTAAAGAAATATTAACTCAGGGGTCAAGAAGAAACATTGGATTCCTGTAGTTGGGGGTGGGTTGTAACCTTAGAGCACTTAAATTGCCTCATTTGTGAAATAAGACCTTTAAGGTGGATGTTTTTCAAACTTAGTTGCACCTTTGAATCACCAGGAGAGTCTTTGTCACTCTTGCTAGGTGGAGTAAAAACCACACAAGTGCAATTCCAAAGCAGTAGCAGCCCATGCTGGTTAGTTTATTTCTCTGACAAGGCACCATCACTGAAATTAGTGTGTGCATTTTCTTGGGCAAAGGTTGAAAGCCTTGGCCCTTTCTCATTAGGGTTTATGACCTCAGTTGAAGTTGCAGTATTTCTCTTGTCTGTTCACCTAATTCTTGCTTAGAAAGTTGCAATTGTAGCCTTTAGTTCTCCTGTACCAATCACCAGCTGGTGCGCAGCATCAGAGGGTGTGGAAGTTTGTGTCAAATGAAGAAAGGTATTGGTCCTTTGATACTATCCTCTCTCTATCCTTTTTTTTTTTTTTAGTAATTTTTCTTAGTTGTCAGTGGACCTTTATTTATTTATATGCAGCGCTGAGAATCGAGCCCAGTGCCTCATACATACTAAGCATGGGCTCTACCACTGAGCCACAACTCTAGCCCGATCTCTTCTCTTTTGCTTTTTAATTTTTCTGTCTCTTCACTTTGTACCATTCTTTTGTAGTTGTTGTTTTTGTTATAACAATAAGATGTCTGGGTATGTGTCTGTTTAATACCTTTCACCCATCAGGGAACTATTGTGAATCTACAAATAGGAAGAGGTGGGCAATAAAGAACCCTCAGAAAAGTTTAGAAAATTTTAGATTCATATTTTCCTTAAGCTACTAGAATTTCAGAGCCTTTATATTTTGAATTTAGATGTTATTTAAAACTTAATAAATTAGACTTATTAAAGAACATCTATCTCATTGTACAACTAATTATCTGTATTTCTATTATTATAAGTTGGTCACATTCAACTAGTAGTATCTTATATTTGCCAATTGATTTATATACTCAAGAGAACAGTTTTTCAGGGTAGCTTTAGAAAAAGTTTTCTTTCTTTCTTTTTTGTACCGGGGATTGAACTCAGAAGCACTCGCTCACTGAGCCACATTCCCAGCCCTATTTGGTATTTTATTTAGAGACAGGATTTCATTGAGTTGTTTAGCACCTCACTTTTACTGAGGCTGGCTCCTGCCTTAGCCTCCCAAGCTGCTGGGATTACAGACATGCTCCACTGTGCCTGGCTTCTTTCTTTTTTTAGTGGCACATGCCTTGTAATCCCAGCTATTTGGGAGGCTAAGGCAGAAGGATGGCAAGTTCAAGGACAGCCTGGGCAACTGAATGAGACCCTGCCTTTCCACCTCCAAAAAAAGAAGGGGACTGGGAGTGTAGCCCAGTAGTAGAGCACCCTTGAATTCAGTCCCCAGTGTCACACACATGCACAGTCTTTTTAATTTTAATACTTCACAATGTTAGAAGTGGTGCAACTGCTTGTAAATAATTTAAGTGAAACAATTCTGGAAGAATATAGTAGTATAAACAATGCAGCACAATTAGCCATCTTGACATTCATTAACTCCTACTTTACCTTTTTTTTTTTTTTTTTTTTTTTTTGCTATTTTGGAAAAAAATGCTACCTTTTTCTTTTATTCTTCTTTTTGTTTTTCTTTTTTGGGTGATCAGGGATTGAACCAGGGGTGCTTAACCACTGAGCCACATCTCCAGCCATTTTTATTTTTATTTTGAGGCATTGAATTTGCAATCCTCCTGCCTCAGCCTCTGGAGACACTGGGATTATAGGCATGCACCACTGCGCCTGGCTTTTTTTTTTTTTTTTTGCCTGAGACTTCTTAATAAAGTTTCTTAGGGTAATGTTAAACAGCAGCTATCATTTCTTGAACCTTCAGTAGCCATGTCATGGGAGGAATCAATGGCCAGAATCATTTGAAGCCTCTTGAAGCAACCACACTGCATCAGACACTCTGTCTATTCCTAGGGTTCTCAGTGCACACTTCAACTATAGTTCCCAACACATTTGATTGCACTGGTATCTATTCACATCTCTCCCTTCCCTTGGACTGAGCTCCTGGGTGGAAGGAAAATGCCAACAGCAGAGCTTGGCTCTCCAGGTGTTCACTAAGTGTATGATCAAATGTGCTTCTTCCTTTGCCTTAGCATTCCTCACACAGAGGTCGGGTATGTTTGTGTGTGGGGAACAGGGGAAGCTCCATGGCTTTACTCTCAGGGCTCTGAGAATTTTACACACACCTTTTTGAATTCTGTTTTCATTTTATTAAATGGAAAGCATATTGTGAATCATCAGGATGAATCCTTTAGCAATACTCAACCACTAAAGCAATGTTGATTAGCTCTCAATTTAGTATTGCTCAAGCATTCCATAAAGGCTTTTTACAGGCGTGTTCTCAGGGCTGTGAAGTTCATGTTTCAGGATGTTGCTCTCAGGAACAGTTAAGATGCCACCTTCTTTTTGGGAATAGGTCCTTCATTGCTCAGTCAAGTAACTTGAATGATAGCTTAACCTATTACAGTTTATGTATTAAACTTACCATCAAGACACTTCCTGAGAAGCAAGAATGTTGGAACTCAGATTGGCTTGAGTCCCAAAGAGTATGGCACTAACCACGGTTCAATGACTGTGATGGGTTCCCCCAGCATTCTCTCTCCCCATGGTCAGAACTGTGTCCATAATATGTTTTAGGCTATGCTCCAGCACTCGCTGACCTATTTGTTAATGCTATGGTAATTCTGTCTGTCCTGCTGGACATAGAGTTATGTGAATTTCAAGGAATCTATTCAACCCTGTGTCTAGTACATCCTCACTTAGCAGAGTAAGTGCTTGTCCGGTTAGTCAGACTGAATCAAGACTGTAGCAGGCGCAAGACAAACACATTTGTAAAGTCTTCTCCTTCTTTTGAAACTAGACTCATTGTGCTAACTGATTTTTGTTTCTAAAAGCACTTTGTCTTTTCCTAGTTTTCTCGTAGATTTTTTTTTTTACCACATTGTTTGTCTTTAAATATGGCAAGCCTGGTTTTTTCCAATGTATCTGATTCCAGTATGCTCAGTCCTATTCCTGCTGTTTCTAAGTAACTGCTTTATGTGACTCAGTTTCCTTCTATGCTTAGTTATATTTAACTGCCTGCTGGTTGTTGTGTTTATAAATTACTTGTTAGAGTGCTCCAAGTCTTAAGGAACCTCTGGAGAGATCTTTATATTTTCTGGGATATCAATGGTGATTCCAGTCTGGGCCTCCCAGACCCAAGCAGGCTCACCATTTGAAGTTCCCTGGCTCAACCAGGTGTGACACTCACAGGGCTGGTCTGTGACTGTCCTTTTTTCATGCTAGGTCTACTTTTCCTTTCTGTGATTTGGAGCCACTCTGCTCTCCTTTGTAGTCCTATTAAATTTGGGGACAGGCAGTTTCGATTTTGGTTCTTGTCCCTAGAGAGCAGCCCTTTGGGGACAGCTGTCCTATTATATCTTGGTGGTTCTCTTGTTTCCCTTACCTGAGGCTACAAAACAAAAGCCTAAGTATGTATGCTTGACACTTGGCTCTTAACTTCTCCAGTAGCCCCTGGGATTGGCCTAGGAGCTCTCTGCTCTTTGGACTCCTTTTGATAGTTTAAAGATACTTTCCCATCCCACCCTTCAAGAGCCTGTGTTTCATTTAGTTTTCTTTTCTCTCTTTCCTTCCCTTCCTCCTCCCTTCTCCCTTCTATTTTCTTTATTTCTCCTGTCATGTCTTTATATTCTTTCCTCTTTCCTCCTTTACTATGGGATAATTCTGACTATCCCCGTCCACTAATCCTGGAAACAAGAGATCTTAAAAAAATCAATTTAGGGCTGGGACTATAGCTCAGTGGTAGAGCACTTGCCTAGTATGTGTGAGGCCCTGGGTTCGATCCTCACACCACATAAAAATAAATAAAATAAAGGTCCATCAACAACTAAAATTTTTTAAAAATCAATTTAGAAATAGAAAAATCACTAAAAACTGTGTGTGAGCCTTAAAACAGTCTTTCCCTTTTGAGCTTCTTTTTTTTAAAAAAAAATACTTTTATTTTTTAGTTTTAGGTGGACACAATATCTTTATTTTATATTTATGTGGTGCTGAGGATCGAACCCAGTGCCTCATGCATGCTAGGCAAGCACTCTACCACTGAGCCACAACCCCAGCCCCTCGAGCTTCTTTTGAGCTTGTTAGTTAAGCTAGATAACAGAGATCATGAGTCAGAAATAAAAATATTATTTGGATATTTCCAGGAAGAGGATTCCCAAGAATAACTTCAATTACAAAATCTTGATAAGAAATGAGTAACTGGAATGGTGGCTTAACCTATTACAGTTTATTCATTAAACTTACCATCAAGACACTTCCTGAAAAGCAGAAACTTCAGGACTCAAGATGGCTTGAGCTCCCAAATGTATTTATTGGCTTAAATTGAAAGCCTTTGAATGGACAGCCTCAGGCACAGGTGGATCCAGGAATCCAAATATTGTTATTAGACTTGGTATCCATCTCTTGTCTGACCTGCTATGCCAGCTCCAATCTCTAGCAAGCTCTCCTGTGGTGGCAAGATGGCATCTAGCACCCCAAGACAGCCTGTGCTTGAAGGGTATGGTCTCCAAACTTGATGTACCTAATAGTACGATTTGAGCACAGCATTCCCCATATATATATATTTATCTGTAAATTATTATATAATATGTCTATATATTTTGTTATATGTATGTTCTCTAAGCTATGTTAATTATTATGTTATATGTGTATATTCTTTGTTAATTTTTAATAGAGCTCATTCTTTTAGTTTCTAAAATGAGGACTAAAATGGAAGTATTAATATTTTCTATACTGGAATGGATTGTATCACACACCCCATGTTGGGGAGTACTTAGAGAAAATACCACATTTGTCCCCTCAGTTATAATACATTCCTGTAATCATATCCTGTGTTTCTTTTTGGCCTAGCTTGAATAATGAGTCCTGTTCCTTGAAACAGTCAAGTAAAATTTTACTAATATAATGACACAAAATTTGATTAGGCATAAATAAAAAAATGCTATCTTAACTTTTAGAAACATTTTATATTCTGGAACCTTATAATAACTGATATTTTATCCAAAAAGCAGGGGTGGTGGTGGGGGTAGAGTGGGATACAATCCTTCTCTTAGTGCAGTTATAGAATAGATTCTCAACTTCTATAACAATTAGATTCCATTAGTCTATGTAGTCTATAATTGAATATGCAATGTATCCTGAAAGTGTTCCATCTAATTTTTGTTGATACACACACTCAGACATTTTTGTACATTTATACTCTTACACATTCTCTCTCTCTCTCTCTCTCTCTCACACACACACACACACACACATACACACACACACATACACACACACATCTTGTAATACTTTCTTGTGATAGAAGAATGAGAATGTTCTATGTTAAAATGCAGGAATTGAGTCTTACAAATAAATTTTATTTTTATTTTTACTATTGTTGAGAATGACCACGTTGAACAGGAGGGACAGCTCTGTGAAAGTCAGGTGGTAGAAGGGAATAATTTTCTGATTTCTAAAGATAAAAACAGTTCATTGGTTGGAGAGTTGTGTTTCTACAAGAAACAGGTAAAGCATGTGAAGAAAAAGTGTCATTTAGGAGCCTTTTGAGGAACAGACAGTTGTGGGTATTTAAAAATCCATCTTCTGTGGCAGAAATGCAATGGCACATCTGGATTCTGAAGTGAAAGAAGAATGTCTGAGGGAAGACCTGAGGTTTTACTTCATGAACCCCTGTGAGAAGTACCGGGCCAGACACCAGATTCCATGGAAACTGGGTTTGCAGATTTTGAAGATAGTCATGGTTACTGCACAGGTAATTCATGCTATTATTTTTTTTTCCTTACCCCAAGATGAAACTGTTTTCATGTGTTCTATACTTGATTTTTGTTCTGAAATATCCACATTCAAGTTCATGAAACTATAAAATGATGTTGACTCTGGAGACAGGTGATGGGCTGAAGTTCAGATTAGAAGGCAACCATTTCTTTCTTTTTTTTTTTGTAAGAACATGAGGTTATCCCTCCACAGGTTCTGTAAATACTACATAAATGTGGATCTGAACTGAGGAGAATTTCTATTTCTCTGTAAGGTTCATAGGCTGCCAAGACTGTCAGTATGAAGTGATTTGTGTTCTTGAAATCCCTCACCTTCAAATATACTGTATTCAAATATGCTTTTGAAATCTACAATTTTTTCCCCTGACTTACAGAACATTAAGTTTCCCTTTTATCAGCAATAAACATGCTCAAAGTAAATACTTACCCTGGGTTACTATCAGTAGTGTATAAAAGCAACATTTGGATCATTGGATTAAGTTCATACTATGGAGCAGTTTATCACCGTATTAATGCAGCCATCAGAGTTGTTATCTAGCTGTTGAGCTTGACACTGAACTAGTTTTGAGTCAGCTTCGCTATAGGTACCTACATCTAAAACAGATGCCCTTTTAAGAATAGTCCTTAGGTTGTGGATGTAGCTCTGTGGAAGAGCACTTGCCTAGCATGTGTGAGACCCTGGGTTTTATCCTCAGCACTGAAATAAATAAACAAACAACCCAACTCCTGCAAAAAAAAAATGAAAACCCAGTACCCAGTACTGATTTGGAATGTTCAGCTCTATTGGCAAATAATCATTCTGCCACCAATAGAAAAGGGGGTAAAGATGTTATTTCTAGAACATTAAAAAAGAAGTTATAGAAATGAAGAAGGAGCCTGCTCTACCTGAAGCTGCCTCTTTATTCCTACAGAGGTCTTTCCATTGTATGGCATGCTGTCCTAGTTCATCCAGCTTTAGAGAAAACAAGTGGCTTCAGAAAACACAAGATTGAGATGTAGGAACATTGTTAAAAGTGCACGCTTCTTAGCTCTTTTCATTCATGGTTTTCAAGTTTTAATTTTTATAATAAAATAGGTGCATTATTAGTATTACTTGGAAGGAGAGTCATGTCCTGATTTGTCATTTGGTTAATTTTAATTGTCTTGCAAATCCTTATCTTATTAAACCAGCTCTCATTTTGGCTTTTCACTCTAATGTTACTAAAATTCTATTTACAAAGGCATAAAATGTCGTTTCCTTCCTTGACTTACCTTCTTTGTCCTGATAACTTACTAAATCCCATTGATCGGTTTCCCTCTAAATTGCATATATTTGTTTTTTTCATACTTGTTATCTTCTCTTTAGCACAGATTCTGAGCCCCAATTTAAAAAAAACACATGAAACATTACTGGATATTGAGTTGGGGATACAGCTGTAAACATATTATCTTGCTACTGACAGCTGAACCTAGCATGGAATTTTCCATGTGCCAGACACAGTAAGCATTTTCTCTGTTAACTCGTTTCCCCCTTACTGTGACCCTGTGAGGTAGGTTCAGTTATAATCCCCTTTTTATGCAGGAAGAAATTGGGGGGAAAGAGTGAAGGAGTTTGTTTATAACCAATTAGTAAGTGGCGGAGCCGGGCTTTGAGTTCAGACGGTCTGGTACTTCCTCTGGAGTCTGCCCTCTCACACTCTCATACTATGTCTTCTGGATGTAAGTGTTGCCCTTGGAGCTCACAGTTATCAACACAGATGAGTGAACTAGGCTGCTTCTGATCATCATCCTGTGTGCCCTTCTTACCTTCCCGCATACCAGTCTATTTCATGCTAATATCACATTACTTTTCTTAGAATAGCCAGACCAACCAGATGATTCTCATTCCTGCTTGTTGGTACCCCATGTCCAGAGTGGTTCCTTCTCCCTCACCATGCAGGTGCTATTTGAAGTCCTGTCTCCCCATCAGCTTTTCCTGACCACTTGACATGTAGTTTTCCTTAATACTCTTTACTGTCTACATCATTAATTTTACTGTTAATAATGAAGTATTTCTGGGAACCAGTAATTTACTTTCTGTGTGGACATACTTACCTGTCTACCCTAATAAAATTAGGAGAGATTGAATTTTTGTTCCCCTGTAGGATCATTCCACTAAGTTTTGCTACTTGGGTGCTATCTAATTGGAGATTTCTTTCCTTCTGTCAAATCCCACTTTTCTTTCTTCCTCCTTTTCTCTTTTATACTCCCTTTTCAAATCTAATGGGATGGGTGGAATTTTATCAAGGTCAAGGTCGATGAGAAGGAATATTATTTTTTTTTTAAGTTCCAACTTTGCCTTCTGCAGTAATTTATAATCTTGAGGGAGGTGTCTGCATTCTTTTGCTAGTTCTACTCTTTCCCTCCCATGGTCCTTGTGCCTCATTAGAGTGGTATCTTGTTTTTACCTGGTACAGAATATTTTCTCCTACATTGATTTCATAATGAGGTGTTTCATTCAGTCTTTTCCAGACTACATTTAGTGAGTAATGATTTTTCTGTCTTGTGTCACATTTTCAGCAAATCTTAGGATCTAGATGGGGGTATAAGAATGCACTTTTGCTGTCTGCTGCTTTTTGAACATAAAGTCATTTGGTCAACACCAGTGTTTTAGTCAGCTATTTCACTGCTGTGACTAAAGGACCCAACCAGAACAATTTTAGGAGGAAAGGTTTACATGGGGGCTAAAGGCTTCAGAGGTCTCAGTCCTTAGACAGCAGGCTCCATTCCTTGGGACTTGAGGTGAGGCAGAACAGGAAGAGGAGTGTGGAAGAGTGTGACAGAGACAAGCAGCTCACATGGTGATTGGGAGAGAGGTCTCCACTTGCCAGATTCAAGTGCATACCCAAAGTCTGGCTCCAGTTTCCACCTCCTCCAGCCACACCCTCCCACTTCAGTTTCCACTCAGTTAATCCCAATCAGGGGATAAATTCACTGATGGGGTTAAGACTATTACAACCCAATCATTTCTCCTCTGAACCTTCTTGCATTGTCTCACACATGAGCTTTTGGGGGACACCTCACATCCAAACCATAACAACCATCACCCCTTATTCTTCCTCTGCAGGGAGAGTTTGGTTCAGTCACAGCAATAAAAAGCCTTTGCAGCTTCCTCCTAAGGGTTTGTTTCTCTTGAGAGAAGCTTTGAAGATGCCCGCACCTCCCTGGTGGTAGGCCATAGATGAAGATCTTGGCTTGTTCTATGAACAAGAGAATGGAGGGAGATTTTTGTTCTTGATGCCAGACAGGTAGTTTCAAGCAGAGAGTACAACACTAACCATTTCTTCTTCTCAAAGTTGAATCGTGGCTTTGAGTTTGAATAAAATGGTGGCTTCATATATCAGCAAATCATATGCCACTTTCTCAATTGATTGTCCATTTTCTGTTCAGACCTTTTGTGTTTCTTTTCCTGTGGGTGTAGGAGGGATAGGTCTAATACCTGAGTACAGCAGCGTTTCAGTATAAAAGCTGGGGAAGCCCAATGGACAAGAGAATGAGCAGGCTATAATGTCAACAGACCTGGTTTGAATCCTCAATTTGATACCTTCTAGATATTCCAGCTTGGATAAATTAATTGACTTCAGTGTGCTTATGTATACACTGCAATCATATTTAGCCCTGACATTGTGATGGGCACTATTTGATTTCCTGAGTCTGTATAGTACTAGGGAAAACAAAAAAAAAAAAACAAAAAAAAAAAAACAAAAAAAAAAGAAAGAAAGAAAAGAAGGCATATTTTTTAAAAAATATAGTTCCCAGTGTAACAACTCTATCATAGAATATGGGGAAATTAAATGAAAAATAATACTTGTAAATTTTTAGCACAGTGCCTGTGTGCTATTATGTAACACCATGAGGGTTGACCCTGCCCATATGGTATCGAGCTTGTCAGAAAGGAAGCAGTTGGTAAATTTCAATTGAATAACTTAATTTAATGGTGCTATAGGTGAGGTAGGAGAGTTTGGAGGATGCAATGTTATCCCCTTCTAACATCTTGAATCAATTGTGTGTGCTGGTTCTCTGGTTTACTTTTTAGCTTTCAAAAAGCAACATGACCTTTCTTTGTCTCTCCTATAGGTGCCATTGACAGGTGTCACATGCTTGAAAGAACTTTTAACCTTAGCTTGCTTGATTTTCAGCACAAGTGGAATGATGTGGGATGTCTTATCTGATGTTCTTCTTAGAATAGCTATGTTTTTTGCAATTGCTCAATCCTTTGAGTTGGTATTTGAGGAATGTGACATGGTGAAATTGAAATGCTCTAGAGTGTCATCTATGTACATTCTCAAGCAATAGCTGCCTTTCCTAATTATGAAATGCCAGCACTTAAATTGTTTTTTTACAAGAAATGTCCCAAAGATATATTTTTTTTTCTAGCAGAAGGAAATTGTTCATGCAGCATCATAAAGATGGTTTTGGAGTTAGACCTGGCTTCCATTCTAGTTAAGTGGGTGGGGGCAATTTAATGAGGCTAGGTGTCAGTTTACACTTATGTAAAATGCAGATAATAGTGGTAACATATTCATGGGTGGTTACAGTGGTAAGCAAGAAAATACAGGTAAAGCAGTTAATACAATGTCTGGCATATAATAGCTGGAAAATAGTCAGATTTATTTATGTATTTATGTATGGTGCTGGAGATTGAACCCAGGGCCTTGTGCAAGAGAGATAAGCACCAACTGAGCTATATCTCCAGCCTGTCAATATCATTTTAATAATTAATTAAATTTAATTTAATTAGCAAACCTTAGGATCTAGAAGGTGGGACAGGAATGCATTTTTGCTGTCAAAATGTAAAATGTCAAAAGTAAAAGTTGAAATAAAAACTACTAAAAAAACATCCTTGTGCTAATTTGCTTGTGCAAGTTAACATTAATATCATCTGAATTTTTCATAATTAATATTTTATGTATTATTGTATAGTTTTATCATATTGAGTGATGGGATGGCAAGAAATGCCAGAACTGTCAGGGTCATCTAATTAAACTTGCTAATTTCACACATTCCCAAAGTGTTCTGACTCAGCTGGGTAAGGACTTGAGGAAAACTTCTAGAGTCTCATTGTTTTATGAAACAGGGAAGTGGGAAAAAGTGTGTGGCACAGGCTTTTGGAGGTTTAACTTCAGCAAAAATGTTACTGCCTGTGTGTGTGTATGTGTATGTGTGTGTGTGTGTGTGTGTGTGTGTGTAAAAAAGAGAGAGAGAATGTGTGAGAATGCACAGGAGGTGTGAGAGGTGAGGGCATACATGAGAGTTTAAGTGTGCCTGCACACATGTGTGTGTGTGAGAGAGAATACACCTGATAATGTGCACTTGTGTGTATATGGCCTTTTGTGTGGTTTCTTAGTTTTTTGTAAACCTTTGGTATTGGCTAATTTTCCCTATTTATTGGGTTCCAGGCAGAAAACTTTCACTCTTGGTGAGGAGAGCCCTTGGGTGCCTAATCTTGTATCAGATACAATGGAAGGGAAAGCAAGTAGATGTTTTATCAGGAGCAGGTGGGTGCTTGGTGACAATGAATGGGTTTGACATCATATAGGTAAAGTGAGCCCTGTTATGCTTTTATTTTTTATTTGTTTAATGGTACAGATGATTGAACTCAGGGGTGCTTTACCACTGAGCTATACCCTCAGCCATTTAAATTAATTAATTTATTGAAATAAGGTTTTGCTAAATTCCTAGGGCCTAAGTTTCTGAGGCTGATAGCCTTTAACTTTCAATCCTCCTGCCTTAGCCTCCAGAGTTGCTGGGGTTACAGTGTGCCCCAGCTCATAAAAGAGCCCCAACTCTTTTATGAACTTTAATACTGTAGATCTTGTTGGGCAAACTCTTAGTTGTAAATGCTATATAAGAATTTTTGCAGAACTGGATTAACTGAATTCTTTGAACAATTGTTATACCCTATCTGGAGTAAATATTTATATTGATAACTTCTCAAAGGCATTCTTAAAAGCCACTATTTCTAAGTATATTACCAATAAAACATACATTATTGCTTTGCCAACTAATCACTTATGAAAACAATTAATTTAAAACTCAAATATAGGAAAAAAGTTTTCAGACTTAGCTGTTATGAATTCTTTCTTTTTTAAAAGCCAGTAGGATCAGGGCATTGTGGTATATGCCTGTAATCCCAGTGACTCCGGAGGCTGAGGCAGGGGGATTGCAAGTTCGAGACCAGCCTGGGCAACTTAGTAAGACCCTATCTCTAAATAAAGAATTAAAAATGATGAGGATGTAGCTCAGTGGTAGAGGCCCTGGGTTCAACCTCCAGTATCTCTCTCTCTCATACACACACACACAACCAAGTAGGGTTGGGAGTGAATTTCTTTTAATTGTAGGGGCAAAGGAAATTTCCTCTCTGCTCTCTGAAAGTTTGGTATTTGTGTCAACTAAAATAAACTGACAGGAGATGGATTAACAAGAGGAAAAAAAACACTCATTTATTATGTGCACGGGGAGATCACCCAACAAAATTTAGAAGTTGATATACCCTTCTTCACAGGGAAGAGGGAAGTGGGAAGAGAGAATATATGCCATTTTAAAGAGAGAGTAAGGACAATGGTTAATTTTGGTTGTCAACCTGACTGGTTGAGGGATACCTAAAAACTGATAAAGCATACTTCTGGGTGTGTCTGTGAAGGTATTTCCATGTGGGTCAGCAAATTGAGTGGGAAAGACCTGCGCTTAATGAGGGCTGTACCATCCACTAGGCTGGGGGCCTGGATGGAACAAAAAATTGGAGAGAAGCTTTCTCTCCTGCATTCATCCCTTTTCTACTGGGTGCCATTTTTCTCCCCCTGTTGTGCGGTACATCAGCCTCCAGTTCATCAGCCTTTGAATATGGACCAGCACCAGCCGCTCTCAGGGTTTTCAGGCTTTTGGCCTCACACTGGGACTCCATTGGCCTTTCTGTCTCCTTCTGAGACTTCCTGCTTCTTTGATTCAGCAGCTGCCTGCTTTCTCTGGCCCCCTAATCAGCTGCTATGGGGCAAATTAACTTCTGATCATGGGAGTCAAGCTAATAGACCCCCTCGTTCTATTGGATCGGTTTCTCTGGAGAACTCAGAGTAGTGCAGTAAGTAAATGTTTTTTGTTTTTGTTTTTGTTTTGGGGGTTTTTTGGGGGGTGGGGATAAATGGGCTTGAAGAACAGACAATAGCCTGGGACAAAGTTTCTCTGGACTCTGACTATGGTGTTAACTCTAGTCCTCTTTCCTTTGAATTGATCTTTCCTGTTTAATGAGCTTATAGTGATGGGATTCATGGCAATTACTTCCTTCTGGAGGAACTTTTAGGTAAAGGTACTTCAGAGAAAGGCCCTTCCTGTGTTTCAGGAGAGGTAGGGAGGGGAGAGAAGGTCAGGAAGACTTTTGTGCTTTGGCTGCTGCTGAAGTTCAAGGTACTCAGCCTGTCACAGCACCATGCTTAGGGATTTGTTTTTGTCTGAGCTCCAACACAATCTTATGCTCCTTAGAATTGCTGATGTTATTCTTTGAGTGAATTTATTCAGTGAAGTTATTCTTTGAGGGGACTTTTATTTTGTCATTGTTGCTATTGGTATCAAGCAAGGAATTGAGATGATTTTTCTTATAGGGTTTGAGCAGAAGGTGAATGATCAGAAGACATTTTCCTTCCTTGGAAAATGGTCAAGTTCATATTCCTATATGATTTTCTTTTCCAGCTTGTTCGTTTTGGTTTAGGTAACCAATTGGTGGTTGCTTTCAAAGAAGATAACACTGTTGCTTTTAAGCACTTGTTTTTGAAAGGATATTCTGGAATAGATGAAGATGACTACAGTTGCAGTGTATATACTCAAAAGGACGCCTATGAGAGCATCTTTTTTGTTATTCATCAGGCAAGTACTTGTTGTGAATGACCTGTTCTTTAAGATTATGTTGACCTATACCTTAAGAATATATATATACTTGAGCCAGGCATGGTGGTGCATATCTGTAATCCCAGTAGCTTGGGAGGCTAAGGCAGGAGGATCACAAGTTCAAGGCTAGCCTCAGCAATTTAGTGAGGTCCTAAGCAGCTTAGTGAGATCCTGTCCCAAAATGAAAAATAGAAAGGGCTGGGGATGTTGTTTAGAGGTTAAACACTCCTGGGTTCAATATCTGGTACCAAAAGAAAAAAAAAAAGATCAAGTGTATAATATATATATATATATATATATATATATATATATATATATATAGCCTTGTTGTCTTAGCAAGCAAACAAAAATAATATATGATGTAAATGAAAAAATGAAAAATGTTTATTACTATTTTTGGAACCACATAGTAAAGTTTGCCTATTTTGACCTTTTCTCTAAGATTTGTTGTTTTTAATTTATTTCTTCATACTCACTACTTTGGGGAGATTACTTCAGATCAAATAACCAAGACATTTATCATATCAGAAGCCTTGATGAAGACTTGAAACTAAGAAGAGTCTTTGTTGGTCTCAGTTTTGATGTCTTAGCATTAGTAATTCTATCCAAATCTTACGAACATGGAATATAACAGTTGTGTCTGGATGGGTATGAGACAACAGACTGGTGGACCTGAGGAGAGAATTTAGGGGAGAAAAATTGGTCTTTTCTTTTTCATTCATTCATTCAATAAACATTTGAGTCCCTAGTGTTAGCAAGTACTATTCCAGACATTGGAGATGTATCAGTGAATCAAACAAAATCCCTGCCCTTTGTAAAGGGAAGAGCCAGACAAATAAAACAAAATGAAATGTATAGTATCAAATGCCAGCTCCCTAAGAACACTATCCGAAAACATGCTGATAAGCAAAGCTGAGATCCTTGCTGCAGCAGTAAGGAAGATGCCACTTTGAACAGTCCAAACGGTGCCTCAGGTAGAGCCAGAGTCCTTTAATGTGGGGGTCCTCTATTAGAATTGGGTAAGGATCATGCTATAACTGTTCACGGTTGGTAGATCTAGCAAGACGAGGGTCAGGGAAATAGTCTCAAAAAGTCTTGGAATTATTATCAGACTAAATCTTCGAATTGTTTAGTCACCTATATGAGTCTTTTGGATATTCCTGAACAATATAATTATCTGCAACAACTTTTGTGTTCCTAGGTAAAAGTTTCCTAGAATAGTAAAATGATATTTGTGAAGATGGGAGCTAGTGAAGTCCTGTTAGTGCAGATAGCAAAATTGTGTTAGTGTAAGCTGGTATTAGTTGTGTTAATGTAAGCTGTAGCTTCTCTGAGAGTGATCACTCCTATGGAATAGGACAGGAGGAGTGCGTTTGGCATGGGATGGATGTTTACTCTGTGTGTGTGTATGTGTGTGTGTGTGTTGCTGGGGTTGAACCCAGGGCCTTGTGCATGTGAGGCAAGCACACTACCAACTGAGCTATATCTCCAGCCCAATGCTTGCAGTTTTTTTAAATTTAATTTTAATTTTATATATATATATATATATATATATACACACACACACACACACATACACATACACACACATACATTTTTGGGGGTACAATGTAAGGTTTTGATATATGCAATTTTCATTGGCTTGGTAAGGGAATGCCTGACTGAGGTGGTGATATTTGAGTCAGGACCTGAAGGCGTGAGCTAGGTTCCAGGTGGAGGGAACGGCAAAAACCAGAGGCAGAAGTGTGTTTGGCAAGCTCCAGGAGCTCCCTGGTTGTGACCTTGTGGCGTGGAGCACGGGGACCATTGTAGGCAGTAAGGTCTGAGAGATCAGCAGGACCCTGTCTTGGGCTCTGAGGGAGATGGGAGCCAGCTGTGAGCAGGTTTGCTTTAGTTTAGAGTTCTGTGGGGTAGTTTGTTCCCTTGCAGCCTGAGAAAATGACTTTGTGTTATTTAAAATTGGAAAGTGCTACTGAGGGGGGCAGGATATAAACAATAAAAAGTGGCTAAAACTGCATTCCATATGCTATGACTTCTGACCAAACTTTAAAAAGGTCATATGTGTTTGTGTGTTTTTTAAATATTATTTAACTATTTTTAAAAATAGTATCATCGTCTAAAGAACATTTCCCTGGCGACCCTTGACTATGGAGAAAATGAAGACAACAGAATTGGCTTAAAAATCTGTAAGCAGCATTACAAGAAAGGGACCATGCCTTCTTCTAATGAGACCCTGAACATTGATAGCGACATTGAGACAGGTAACACAACAATAATTTCATTATGTGACTTTGTTGTCTTCTGTGGTGAGAGCAAAGTCCTCGTTTGAGAGTGAACCTATTCTGGCATTAGCCTGCAGAAGCTTTGGCTCAGGAAACTGTGGCTCCGGTAATGGGATAGGGAGAGCATCTGTGGATCTCTTTGGTGTCTCTCAAAATTGTTAGTTTGGGAATAAATGCATAAGTATTCATGTTTGTTTAGTTTTTTTTTCCCCATTAGGGAGTGATTAGATTTTGAAAAAAAAAGTCTGTATGTATCAAATGAAATAATGTAAGCAAAAATGCCTTGCATACTTGTTTTTACTACCTACAAAGTATGTAAGTGCTCTTTAAAGGTGAATTGTGATTACAAACTTTCTCTTTTAGGAGATTGATTGATAAAACGTTAACAGCTAATCACGTAGAACTGTTGTGCACCATTCTGTTAGGAAAGTAAAAGAATACCATATGTAATGTGTAAATGCAAAATGTTTGACCCAGAACTTTGTCATTCATTCAACAAACTTCTGGATGGCCACTGTGCCCACAGTGTTCACAGTGGCTTGTACTAGGGTTGCAAAGATTATTCCATTATGGCTCCTCAAGTTACTGTCAAGGGGGTAAAATTGCGATGTATGCAGTCGAGGGGAGAGATAAAGAATGTCCATGCACTTCTGCCCCTTTCAATGCTTTATTAACTCAAATCACTCAGTACAATTTCACTCTATAGGTTCTTAATCAAGAAAATGACAATCCTTAATGCCAAGCACTACAATAGACATAATCAATTCATAGCAAACGATTCTAGATTAATTCTAAGCACTGCAAAACACACTTAATCATGACAGGCTAATGACAGACATTCCCTCTGCATGTTAAGTTCAAAAGTCTTAAGCCTTAGGCTTTATGTTGAGCAGATGCACACTCACTCAGACCGCCGTGACCAGGTCTGGAATCAAGGCAGGCTTTTCCTGACATGGAGTGGACGACTGGTTGAGGAGAGGGTCGTAGGGAGAAGTTGCAGCTCTCACCAAGATCCAGACGAGGTGGGTAGAGTTTGAGAGCTATGAGGATCCTTCAGAGGCTCAGGAAACGATGACAAGTGATGGGATGTCAGGTCCTCATCAGGCTCTCCAGCTGGAGTGCATACTTGCTTCGGCTGGCTGAATCCCTGTTCATCAGCTCTATTATTTATACTAAATTCAGGGGCTTTTGACCCCCCTTTCAATCCTTATCAGCTACCACCAGATTTCTCCATGACATCATCAACCCTGGGGTCAGATACATCTGGTCTGGTAGTCTCCACCCTGATCTTCTCGCCTTTCCCTCTTATCAGGTGAGGATAGCCTGCCAGAGGCTTCACTCTGTTTATCAGATTGAGGGGAAGTAACTTGTTTATGGCATACTGGAGGGCTTTGTTGGAAGTGCCTGGTGAGACTGCAGGTTTCAAACTGTAGTTTTTAAAATGGAATTGGTTAGGCTCAAGCCTAAGGCCATCCTCACACTAATGATATGGAGTAGTGGTCTTAATATCAGCTTAAATTTGGAAGTTTTTTTTAAATGGGGTGTTAACACAGTTAATCTGACCGTATGTCCTACAACCTGATTTTAAGGTGCCTTGGTAACACTAGAGGAGAACACTCCTACAAGACACTGGTTTTAACTCAGTCTGCCTGTTTAGAATCTCTGTGTGAGTAAATGTGTTCCAGAATTTTGACTTGGGAAGAAGAAGCCTAAGCCATATAATCTGGGGTCCAGGTGCTACATGGCTCCAAGGTTGCTCTCAGAGACCTTTTAGAGGATGTTGTTTGGTTCTGTAGCCAACAACATTGAAATGTTGTCTTATGGCTCTGGAAGCACTGCCTCACCTGAGACCCATCTGGTAGTCCCATCTACAAAGGGCTAATCTTGATTCCTCTGAATGTTTTAGCTGGGTGCCCAGCTATGCCCTCCCTGTAGGTGATTCCTGTATCTGAGGTAGGAGGACTCCCAGGTAGACTAATGGCTTGTCCTGTCACCCTGATTGAATGACAAAACCCCCCAAAGTTCTGCTTCAAGTAAGCTACAAGTCATTCACCCTTTGGAAAATGTGTGACTAAAAGTGGCTGCACCATACAGCTGTTGTTCAGTGATTCAGATGCTGTTTTTCTCAATTGACTTTTCTTGGAAAATTGGTTAAAGAAATGTGGCCAAAGTCAATATCACTGGCTAGGTAGGATGGGCAGGGCTGCAAAGCAGGATTTATTTATGATTAGACAGTAGTGCCTTTGTTCGTTTCCTTTCTGCAAGAATATGGATTTTTTTTTTTTTTTTTTTTTACCAAAGGAGAGAGGTTGGTTTTTTAATTTGACTTTGTTTAGAGAGATTGTTTAAGCAGGTTAATTGTATTCTTTGACTTAATAATTAAAACTTATCAAAGAGAATCTTACAACATATCAAAAAGGTATAAAGACTTTAAAAAATACTTGCTATTTGATTTTAAACCCTTTTTGGACACAGTGGAGGAAGCCTGCAGATGATACAAATAGAAGTTGCATTTGACTTCGGCCGTGTGACGTGAGAGTTTAAGTAGGTGAATTGATGGAAGCTGTCCTAGGTTAGCTGCTCATACATTCTGCACTTCCTTTACTACTGAGAATCATCCTTCCTTGTGCTGAATGTAGACATCGGCCTGTGCACCCAGCTTTCCTGGTGGTTTTCTATTTAGTTGTAGTTGGCTGTGTAGATCAAGCCAAGTTTCCCTTAATTAATATTGATGGCTATATCCCTCCCATTTCTGCCTCTAGAATGGTAGCTTTCCAGTTCAGCCTTATTGAAAGAATTATTAGGAATCCTATAAAAAAGAGATTCTCCCTCCCCCCAATATTTAAGTGGTTATTATTTTAGTACAGGTCAAATATGCCTTATCCATAATGCTTGAGAATAGAAGTGTTCCAGATTCCAGATTCTTTCGTATTTTTCATATACATAATGAAAAAGATACTTGGTGGGGGGAGCCAAGTCTAAACATGGCATGCTATACATCTTATACACATAGCCAGAAGGTAATTTTATACAGCATTATTAGCATAACTTCATTTTGATTGTTACCTATCAAGTGAAGTTAACTGGAATTTTTTACTTGTATCGGGTCTGTGCTCAAAATGTTTCAGATTTTGGATTTTTGGATCAGGGATGCTCACCCTATATGATATTTTATTTTCAGTAGTGCACTACAGTTGCACTAAAAAACTTCACTAAAAACTTGCACTTTTTTTTAGTGCAGTTTTAGTTTCTGTAGAGCATCTGTAGTGCAATTGCTCATGTTCTTCTCTCCACATGAGTCATGATGATTGCTTCATTATTTTCCTGTCTGCTTTAATAATGTGTCTCACCTGTGCTCCTTCTAAGAGAGCTGTTATTTCATTGGCCAAAGTATTCTGCTCTGAAAATAAGATTCATTTGAACAGTGAGGCTGTTGTTCTATATATCAGCTTGTTCTTCTGGAGGTTTGATATTTTACTTGGGGCATTTGCCATCTTTTTTTTTTTTTTTTTAAATCTGTCTTGTGGCCATCAGGTGCTGGCGACCTCAGTGGCAATGACTGTAGTGTAAGGTCACCAGATTTCAGAGTTCTGAAAATGAGTTGGGATAATGTGTAGCTCAATAACTACAAAGCAATGCTGGATTTGAACAGTTAAGCAGACTTTTAAAAGGCAAATTTTACAAATAGCATAAAATTAATTGACAAAATTCTGTCCTATTTCCATGAATCTAAGATGCCATCAATTTAAAAACATCCAACGTGATTTAGAGATGTTTAAAGCAAAATAGTATACATCTTACAGTCAATGAAATGCAGAAGAAAAAGACCCAGGACCATGTCTTGCACATCTGTCTTGAACACATTATTTCTTTCAGAACGTAGTCATTCATTCAGATTGATTTAATTGATATTTTTAAATTCACCTTAGGATAAAAATGTTAGAGTTAGAAGCTCCTTAATTATCAAAAGTGTGGCCTTCCTTTCACAGGGGAGAAAACTGCTACTCCTTCAAACTAGGCAACTAAGCCAAAGTCATGCAATCATAGTGGCAATAGTGCTACTCACATACCATCACCATGAGCATCCCTGAGGGGAGCTTGAAGTGTAGAATTTCAGGCCCCATCGTCAAGTCCTGAGCCAAGTGTGTATCCCAACAAGATCCCTGTGATTCATGCACATTGCATTTCTGAGGCTCAGGTTCAATGTTTTCCAACTAAACATCTTTAACTTCACACAGACCTACCTTTTGAGTGACTTCACTTCATTTTCTGTATTCCGTCTGCACCTCCTGTCTTCAGTGACTTCAGCATGTAGCATAGATATCTTTGTCCACCCTATCACTTCCTCACAAAAGCCGTTAGGGCACTTGCCTGTCTTTTCCCACCTGAATCCTGTTAACTGTGATTTGTCCCTAACCTCCTCCATTCCCTACCCACTGCCTCAGGGCTGGTGCCTCCTGGAGAGGTGTGACAGAGCAGGACACTGTCTTCTGGCTTCCCCTCTTCCATGTTCCTTGCATCTCTTTCCTGCAATCCTCTCCTCTGTGTCACAAAGCAGTGCAAGGGGAGGCCACAGTTAAAGCCTCGCCTACATGGCAGGTGACACTCCTGTGTCTCTAAGAAGTCATGCCCTTTCTCTGGGGCACCCAGACCTACACCTCTCACCTGAGTTCCCTCTGCGCTCCAGACTGTTCATGTGTTCAGCTGGCTGCTTGACAACCTCACTGTGATGTCTGGAAGGAATTTCAAACCTGTGTCTAAAACAAAAAGCTTCAGACCTCCCCATCTCCCCACCCACCCCTGGCCCTAGCTGTTTCTTTCTCAGTCTTCCCCATCCTGGAAAATGATAACAGCATTTTTGTTTTACACTATCATATTCCCAGTTGCTCAAGCCCCTTGCTTGAATGTGTTGATTTCTTTATTTCTACAATCACCACTCTAGTCCATGCTGTTTCTTGCTCCTAGAATGTTCTCCTGATTCTGGTCTTATTTCTACCCTTCCCTGCCCAGCCCCCATGCAACCGGAGTGGTCTTTTTAAAAAAATGTAAATTGGGTCATATCATTTTCTGGCTTCAAAGTGGCTCCCCATTCCATTGAGAATAAAGTCTGTGTCCCTATGGGAGCTGGCTGCCTACCTGTTGCACCAAGCTCCTCATAACCCTGTCCTCAGTTCTCTGTTCAGTGTCTTTTCTGTTTGAGGAATGAGCCAGGCTCTTTCTTGCCTGGAGTCCTTACTGCTTGCTGGCTTCCCATTCACAGTACTCCCCCTGGATCTATGCATGGGTGGTTCTTCCTCCTTCAGCTAAAGGTTTCAGTTCAAACACCTTTAGCTCCTCCAGAGTCATTCTGTGACCACGTGTCCTTGACTAGGGCCACCCCACCAAGTTATTCACATCACTTTGTCTTCACTATCTTCTCACACCTTAAATTATTTTTTGTATATGTGTGTGTGTGTGTATTTTTAAATCATCATTTACCTCCCCTACTAGGAGGTAAGCTCCACGGAGGCCACATCTGTCCTTTTATTGCTTACCTCCAGTGCCCAGCACAGTGCTTGGCTTTCAGCAAATATTTACTGAATAAATGAAGAATCAGGTGGGGAGCCTGGATCTTTGATGCTCTTCTAAAACACATGTTCAGAGGTCAGCTTCTGCAGGGCTCCTGACCTGGAACCAAGAGAGGTAGATTTAAATTTTGGATAAACACCAGCCAGTTGTGTGACCTTAAGGAGATTCTTGACTGCTCTGTGCCTTGGTTTGTTCACTTGTAAAATGGCAGCAACAGTGCCCATCTCACAAAGTTGCTTTAAGGTTTAAATGGAAAGATGCATTAAATGAGAGAATATATAGCCCTAGCACATTTCCTGTAGTATGCTGTTGAGTTGCCTCTTCAGCTCTGTGTCTCATGTTTGGCTCAGGATGTCTGATTTTTATAAAAAGCAGTGTGTCCCACATATTGAGACATCTTTTAAGTGTCGGTTGTCTGGTAGGCAGCAAGTGCTTGGTGATGCAATATGGTTGTGCTCTTGCTCTCAAAGACCTTGTGCTCCAGTTAGAGGGATAAGGAAACAAATAAGGAGCTGAAATCCTGGGATGCCATTCTGAAAGAATGAACCATTGAGTATACAAGATGCTGGAGGACCTGCTGGTGCCAGGCACTGTAGTTTAGCTCTCAGCCAGCACAGACTTCATAAATGAAGGTTCAGCTACTGAGAAATCCCAAGAGAGTTTGAATTAAAGAGACAGACTCTAATTACCTTTAAACCAGCTCCAGGACGGCTTCTCCTACCTGGAGCCTCCAGCTACCTATTAGGGTAGCGAGGTTTACTGAAGAGGCCAGTGAGAGGGAGGGAGGGAGGGAGAGAGAGAGAGAGAGAGAGAGAGAGAGAGAGAGAGAGAGAGAGAGAACATGCCAGGGAGTGGACTTTTATTGGGGAACAAAAAATTCTGGGGAAAATCCCATCCAATGAAGATTAAGGGGGGCAGTGTCCCAAGGTCAGGCATGATGATTGGATCTTCAGGAGTAGTGGCCAGACACACCCACACGGACAAGCCCTTGGACCTGAGAAGGGTGGGGAAAGCTCTGGACACAAGGATGTGCCTAAGTGCTTCTCGCCTAGCCAGGGAGGTAACTCAAATCACCTGTGAGGATGGCCTCCCACACTATAGAAGGTCCTGACTTCTCCATGTCAAAGACAGCACAGAAGGCACAGCCATAGCTGGGGGGATTCGGCCAGGCTGGCCTCCACCAGTTCTGTTACCAGGTCACCTTGACAGGTGCTCACCTCTAGACCTCTTGGTTTTACTAACCTCTAACATAAGGGTGTTGGGCTCCATGATAATGAGACTAATTTTTATGGGAGGCTTTTGGGATTATTCTTCTATAGTTTATAGCTGATAATTTGTTCTTACTTTCATGCAACCTGGGTTCCTTTCCCTTCTCTTTTTAATTATGAAGAAAGTGTCAGACCTAACAGAAAAGTTACAGAACATCACAAAGATATCCTGTGTTCTCTTCATCCGATTTCCCAAATACTAATGTTTTATCTCATTTACTTTTTCTTTGTATGTATAAATATTTTTCCTGAAGGCATAGATATGCTGTTTCTTTGCTTAAAAATACTTCAGTGCGCATTTTTCCCCAACAAGAGCATTCTACGTGATCCCTGTATAGTGCTCAAAGTGAAGAATTAACACTGATGCAATACCATAATGCACAAACTCTATTCTCAACTCATCAATTATCTTAACCATCTTTATAGCTGTAGAGAAACTGTTCCCTACTCCTGGGATCCCATCCAGATCATATCTTACCTTGTGCTATTATGTCTTTAGTTTTTTTAAAATCCAGAGCAAAAGAAATTTGCTTGGATTTGTTTTTGTTTTATGATCTTGGCTCTTTTTTGTGTGTACTGGGGATTGAACCCTGGGTACTTTACCACTGAGCTACAGCCCCGCCCCACTCTCTTTTTAAAAATGTTTGAGACAGGGTCTCACTGAGTTGCTAATGCTGGCCTTGAACTTGCAATACTTCTACCTCAGCCTGCCAAGTTGCTAGAATTACAGGTGGGCACCATCATGCCTGGCATGATCTTGACATTTTTAACTTTTAAAATTTCGATACCAGGGATTGAACCCATGGGTGCTTAACCATTGAGCTACTCCCCAGCCCTTTTTATTATTATTATTATTATTTTTATTTTGAGACAGGGTCTCACTAAGTTGCTGAGGCTGGCTTTGAATTTGCAATCCTCCTGCCTCAGCTTCCTGAGCCACTAGGATCACAGGCATGTGCCACTGCATCCAATCTCTTAACATTTTTAAAGAATGGACTGTCCTGCACTTTGGGAGTTTGTTTGCTCAGGACTGGGTTGAGACAGTGACTTGGGGCAGGAATAGCACATAACTGCTGCATCCTTGGCACCATGGCAGGAGGCACAGACTGTTTATCTCATGACTGATGTTAACTTTGGTCACTGGGGGAGTGTAGGGTCTGCCAGGTTCTCCACGGAAAGGTCGCTATTCTTCCTCTGGTAATTAGTAAATATTGTCTGGGGAGGTATTTTGAAACTTTCTAAGTAGCCTGCTTCACATGGCACTTCCAGGCACTAGTTTTAGCAAAATATGTCTGACTGACGCAGCCCTTGCTTGTCCTGGCCTTTCCCTAGACTGCACTAACTTGGACCTTCAGACACTCGACAAGGACCCTCAGGACTGGATGCAGTCCCCGTTCTTCAGTCTGGAATTCTATCGGTAAACAGGATTTCAAGTCTCATTTCCCAGGAGCTGAGGGAGGGGGAAGGAGAGTGGACAAGTAAAACTGTGACATTTTACACCTTTTAATATGTTTTGTTCAGGCTCTTACAAGTTGACATCTCCTTTCACCTTAAAGGCATTGACCTACAGACGATTCATTCCCGTGAGTTACCCGACTGTTACATCTTCCGGAACACGGCAAGTGCCTTGGTTTTACTAAGCCACTTTCTATTGCTCTCTCCGCTTTTGTAGCTGCAGAGTATAAATCACACCAAGAGACATTCCATGTGGCTGTGTTTAAAATGGTTCTAGTGGCAGTTGATGGTGTCCGTGGTCCAGAGACCATGACCTCTGAAGAAGCCCTTTGTTTCTAACCAGATATCTGAGTGGAGTTTTCAAAGTTGGCTTTGACCTTCTACTCTTCTGAATATACAAAGAGATGCTTCTGATATGTATTTTCAGTCTCTGGTACTTTTCCCAGCTTCCAAGGGAGATCTCTGAGAATGTCCTATCGAGTATTTTCAAGCCCCACAATTAATAAATACTATGAGTCCCTACTATGCACCAGGCATTGTGCTATGCCCTCCAGGCATGTGCCCCACCCCCAAGCTTATAGACTGGAGGAGAGAGCAGACAGAAAGTTAAGTAAATAAGTCATTATAAATTGCCTTGTTTGGTATCTTCCCCCATTTTCTCCATAGACTGGGTAATTTGTAAATAGAGGTTTATTTGGCTCATAGTTTGGGAGACTAAGAAGTCCAAGCTGGCGGGGCTGCATCTGGCAAGGGCCTTCTTGCTATCATGACATGGTGGAAGGCAGCACACGGTGAGAGAGCACGTGAGAGAGCACGTGAGAGAGCACGTGAGAGAGCAAGAGGGGCCGCTTTAGGGAACAACTACCCACTCCCACAGTAATGACATGAATCCATTCATGGGGACAGAGCCCTCATGACCTAGTCACCTCCTATTAGGTCCCCTCCCCATCACTGTTGCCCTGGGGATGAAGTTTCCAACATGTGGATTTTGAGGGAGACACATTCAGCATGTGGTAAGGAGGGTTGATTCTGGACAAGACGATAATGGTTAGCGCCCTGAGCTGGGTGGGCAGGGCTGCCCTGGGATCCTCTGGAGGACAAGGACAGAGGCAGGAGAGAATCAGGGAGGAGAAGAGTCTGCAAGGATGGGTCACTTATGGCTTTGTCATGACATGGGCAGCAATGGGGGGAATCAAAGCATTGGCTTTACATTTTTGTTTAGTTCTTTGGACTTTGCTCAAGTTTCCCAAGGCTTGAGGGAAGTAATTTAGGGAAGTAATTTTGGAAGCCATCATAGCTCATAGGTGGGAAGTGGGCTGGTCTGAGTTATCTCTAGAGCTCTGGCTGGTCTCAGTGATGTTCTGGATTACACAGAACTTAGCTTGTGTTCAGGGATGCTCAGGCATGTGGGTTTGGTCACCTATACATTCAGCTCTCCCAGCTCTTTTATTTGGATTTCTCAATGTGTTTACCCTAAGAACTCCTCAGCATGCATCATGTATAAGCCATGAATGATTTAAATGACTGACTTGGGTTCTATAATGTGGAAAGTGAGGGCATTAGGACATTTTAAGTTCAGCCTGCAGCCCTGGAACAAGTCTGTAATTTCTGAAAACATTGCATATAGCTCTTGAGGCAAACAGAAAAAGAATTTTCAGTCTAATAAAAGCCTAGGATTTCATACCCATAGGACAGAATGGAAGCAAATGCTTTTAAATGCCATTCTGGGTAGCAGGGCACAGTGGTGCATGCCTATAATCCCAGTGGCTCAGGAGGCTGAGGCAGGAAGATCACAAGTTCAAAGCCTGTTTGAGCAACTTAGTGAGGCCCTAAGCAACTTAGTGACATCCTATCACAAAATAAAATATAAAAAACAGCTGGGGATATGGCTTAGTGGTTAAGCACCCCTAGGTTCAATCCCCAGTACAAAAAAAACTAAAAAAAATAAAAATAAATGCCTTTAAAAAAAAAAAAAATAATGAGGGTCATTGTGTTGTCTTGTCAAAGACTGGTGACTTCATATTTTAGTTCCTGGGATTACTAATAGAACCTTGTGAAGAAATCATGTGATAAGGATGTTTTTATCAGTATATTTTTCTTTGGGTCAGCACAGTTTGGATGCCCCTACTTTTTAAAGCAGAGTTGGCCCAGTGAGTCTTAATTTCTGCTGAGCCATAACCTCTCAATCTCCTTGTGTCTCCAGATCACCTTCAATAATAAAGCACACAGTGGCAAAATCAAAATCTATTTTGACAGTGACGCTGATATTGAAGAATGTAAAGACCTGAACATATCTGGCTCTAGTAAGTATGCACTCTGCTTGGCCTTTGCAGATTATGGGATGGATTTCAACACTTTATTTTGGGATTTGGAGTATCTGAGTGGTTGATTTGGTTGATAGGGGGAAAGGGTTCTGGAAGTCCATGTATTGAAAATCGTATTCTGTGATGCATGTCCCACAGCTTTGTGCTTTTTGTTCAGCAAGTGTTGATTACTCATCTGCTAGAAGTCATGTGACTTGGTGGTTAGGCACTCCAGCTCTGGAGCCAGATGGCCTGGGTTTGAATCCCAGTCCTGTTTACCTGTGATCTGGGGCAAATTTCTAAACTTCTCGGTCTTAGTACCTTTCTCTGAAAAAATGAGGAGTCATAATGGTACTTACCTTCCACGAAGTCAGATATCAAAGGATTAGTATGGGAAGCAAAGCTCTGAGAACAGAAGTGGGTGTATATGAATTGCTAGGACCTGTGGTGAAAAGATAAAAACGAAAGGCTTAGTGAGGGAGAATTATGTGCTGATAAAATCTCTAGTGTGTTTCTGGTGGGTATAGGTGAGGGGTGTGCTGGAGGAATGAAGAGAAAGCAAGCAAAAGATATATTTGTCTGGGATAGAGTGGGAAATAAAATTTAAATGATTCTTGAAGAAGGTATGTTTTTGATCTGAGCCTTGGACCATGGAGGAGGAGGATCAAGGCCTCAGAGCCCAGATTGTCACTTGTACAAATGTGGGGTCATCTGTTCAGTCAATATATGAAAAACACCTCTTAATGCACATGTTTAAATGGGCTATGTGGACCCAGCCCTGTTTGCCCAGTGAGGGGTCGAAATGATGTCAGTGGTGGATGGTCAGCATTTTTTTTTCTTTAATTGGCAAGCTTTGTTTGGATGAACTTCCTTTTAACCAGAATGAAATAAAATGTAAAATACCTGTGGTTTCCATTTTAGTTTTTTTTTTTTTTTTTAAACAGGTAGCTTTGTGGCCTGCTACTTTTCAGTTGTATAAGACAGCCTGATGATTTCGCATTTTTTAAAAGTTTTGGTTTTAGTAGTTTCTCCAATCAGAATGGACAGTTTGGGTTTCTGTTTAAAAGGGGTTCCTATTTCCAGTATGTACCACTTTCACAGATTGGCACAGGTCAGATGCATGTTTTGCAAGTCCGAGTATGGGTTGCATCTATTTTCTTTGAAAAAAAAAAAAAAAACCTAAAACAAACAAACAAAAACGCAACCTAACCTTTGTCGCATGTAAATTGTGATTAGGAATAGTCAGTATGAAGGTAAAAATGAGGGAATGAGTGGTAGATCAAATCTGTCTCCAAAGCAGCTGCTTCCACACAGACCCTGGGGTTTTCCTGCCTATGCGCAGCGCGGGGCCGCGTGGCTCCCTCCTGTGGTCAACAAGGAGAAACACAAACCTCACACCGCAGAGTGAAAACAGTAAAAATTTACATGTGTTTCTCTAGAACTGCATCCTAAGAAGCCATTCTTTGTCACTAGGAAAATACGAATTTAAAATAAAATGAGGGGATGTGAAAGACTTAAAAATCGGAAGTTTGAAATACAGTTTAGGAAATTTCCCCCGCCTCATGTGAAGCTGTCTAGTGGGTTAAGATTTCCCTGGTTTGGGGGAAGGGGGAGGAGGACAAGGGCGACATCTGGTGGGCTCCTGATGCTACTCCAAGGTGTTCTGAGTTTCTTTCACATACACTTCTCTCTCCTTCTTGCCATTATCTGTATTATCTCAAAGCAAAATATGAGGAAATATCCCTTTTCACATACAAAACTCATGTTGACTTTTATGACTTCGATGCCCATCTCCACATGTATTACAATCTTCCTCTAACTTAAGTTTTTTTTTTTTTTTTTTTTTAGTTTGTTCTAATCAGTTATACATGACAGCAGAATGCTCTTTGATTCATTGTACACAAATGGAACACAATTTTTCACTTCTCTGGTTGTAGATGAAGTAGGGTCACACCATTTTTTGCAATCATACTTATACCTAGGGTAATGATGTCTATCTCATTCCCTCATCTTTCCTACCCCATACCCCCTCCCCTCTCCTTCCTCCCCTTTGCCCAATCCACAGTTCCTCCACTCATCTCATGGCCCCCCATTATGGATTAGCATCCACTTATCAGAGTAAACATTTGGCCTTTGGTTTTGGGGGATTGGCTTACTTTGCTTAGCGTGATGTTCTCCAACTCCATCCATTTACCTGCGAATGCCATAATTTTATTATCTTTTATTGCTGAATAATATTCCATTGTGTGTATATGCCACAGTTTCTTTATCCATTCATCTATTGAAGGGCATCTAGGTTGGTTCCACAGTTTGGCTACTGTGAATTGTGCTATAAACATTGATGTGGCTGCATCACTGTAGTTTGCTGTTTTTTAGTCCTTGGGGTATAAACCAAGGAGTGGGATACCTGGGTCAAATGGTGGTTCCATTCCAAATTTTTTAAGGAATCTCCATACTGCTTTCCAGATTGGTTGCACTAATTTGCAGTCCCACCAGCAGTGTATGAATGTGTCAACATGTATTGTGCTTATATTCTTGATAACTGCCATTCTGACTGGAGTGTCTAACTTAAGTTTGTAAGTAGAGCAATTTAGTGGGCAGGATTCTTCCTTGATGGGCATGTCACGGGTATTAAAGGAAAGGGGAAGTAAGTTAGTTGACCCTGGGTTACGGCCCCTCAGGCAGACCAGTGGTAGGGAAGGGTGGAGTTGGGTGTGGGATACCCCTAATCAGGTCGGCAGAGCATCTTTCTGGACTAGTGTTTTCTAAACCCACATCTGGAAAATGTTCCTGTAGGGTAACGTAGTTTCAATGGGGTGAGAAAGCAATTGCTGTGTTTATAAAACTCTACATTTTTTAACACACCAGACTTGTCTTTTCAGTAATTCAAGGAAAAATAGAATTCCGGATTCTCTGTTGGGAGGGCTGGTTTATCTTTCTAGGTCTGTTTATTTTCCTATCTGCAGATTAGGTTCAATACAAGCAATCTCAGGTTTTGTTCTAGGAATAGGTCATAAAGAAAGTTACCAGAAGCTGTCTTTGCCTTTCCTAGGATTTTCTGACTCATCTTCCCAAGAACTTCCCATTTTCTCTGCCCTATTCCATAGGCCCAAGGGTAGAGGAGGGCTGTGTTGTGGTAGAGCTATGTTGTCTTATTATCTGTCAGACGACATTTCAAGATAACTTAAATTTCTTCAGTATAAAATGGCTAAAAGCAGCTGTGAGCAGCTGGGTACTCACTTTCCATTGGTTGTTGTGCCTGCTCACAGGACAGCCCTATGGAGCAGATGCTGCCCACACTGTTTTGTAGCAGAGGTGCCTGGAACGTAGCTGGGTAGAATCATTTGCTCCGTGAATCACATTTACTAGCCAGCTGTGTTCATGCCCTACTGGATGAGCTACTTTGCCCTCAGACACTGGTCCAGGGTTGCTCACATCCTTGTGTTATTAAATCTGAGGGTGTTCTGGTCCTTCTCTTAATGCCTCCTCTGCTGAAGGTCGCTGTGGAGCACTCTGACCTAGACTCTCCTCTGAAGGTCACCTGTCCTTCGTCCAAGTCATCCTTTCCGGTCTTGATTGTCCAGACTGAACTCAGTTTACCCAGGACAGAAAACTGTCATTCAGTCTTATTTGTCCTCCTTCCCTAGGTCCACCTGAGGACCAGCTCATGACCCTCCTTCATTTCTCACAACTCTTTGCTTTCTCTTGACCCTCTGCTCTGACTTGGCTCAGATTTTCATAAGTTCTAATTTAGATCACTCAGTGGTCTGCATGAAGCTCTTCACTTATTTGTGAGCTTGCTAAAGCATTATGCTAGGCACAAGTGCTGTATTTTAACAGTGCTCGGGGACCCTGCTTCACAGAGACAGCCAGTCATTTGCTGGGGAAGATGGATACTGAATGATCAAATGGTAAGCACGGCGGGTGTTTGCTCCTGTTATTTCCCTAGGGCTCTTCAGAGTGCTTTTCATACATGAACTTTTGTAATCTTCACAACAGCCCCGTGATATTTGTCTTATTGTTGTTGTTGTTATTAACTTTTACCATTCTATCTACTTCTCAGAGGAAATGGAGGCTTAGGATTAGTGACTTCCCTGAGACCCAAGCCATCAGGCTCCAGAGATTTACGTCCTTTCCCATTTTTTATTGTCTTTGTGCTCTACAACGTGTCTTCTTTGAGGATATAAGATCAGTGTCTTTGGGTGTGTGTAGCTGTAGCCAGTGCTATGGAAGAACATAAGAGTGGCTAATAGAGATGAGAATTTAGGAAGTTTTGTTCTGAGAAGGAGGGGGGTTTAATCTGAAACTTGACACTGAAAATGAATAACCTGGGCATATGTGTGTAGGGAGAGAGGTGCTGTCCCAGGCAGAGGGAACAGGATGTGCAAAGTCCCTGAGGTGAGCAGATAGAAGAAGGAGGACCAGTGTGGCCACAGGGTAGAGAAGGAGAAGGTAGTGATTGGAGTGTGGGATGCTCCCATAAAGTCTGAGGAGAAGCTCAAGGTACAGTTTCATTTCCCTCTGGCACATTCTCCCTGCTCCTGTGTATTCCAGAACAAAAATCTGATTACCACTGTCCTCCTCATTTCCATTCCAAGAAGTTATTTCTTGCACATGCAGAAAACGTTTATCAAATCAGCACTCTCCACCGGGAACGTGAGCAAGGAGGCTGAGAAGCAGAAATGAGGCTTCCAGGGGTGTCATTTTAATTTTTCCTCATATTAATGGCAAATTGATGTGTGAAACAACTTGGTAGGTCCGTCTGAATGGATTACCTTCTGTTGAATTCTGTGCTACAGTAAATATTTATAAGTCAATTTCAGTGCATTTATTAGCACTTCGTGTATTTTTAAATGCGTGACTCTTCACACCAGGGGATGCTTCGTCTTGCTGGCTGACTTCTGAGTGATTTCAGTGGGATCCTTTCTGATAGTTGCCATTTTGTTCTGACAAGAAACAGAAGTTTCCATTTGAACGTCTGTTCAGACTGCCCTTTTGCTTGGAAGTTATTCTCAGGTGAGATATGTTTAGCATTTACATTCTGTTTTGTTCTTCAGTTCAGAAAAACACTCAGTATGTCCTGGTGTTTGATGCATTTGTCATTGTGATTTGCCTGGCCTCCCTCATCCTGTGCACAAGGTCTGTTGTTCTTGCTCTCCAATTACGAAAGGTAAGTGTGTGTTTGCATTTTCTCCCTCCCATGTGGGCAGGCACCCTCAGCTTGTCCAAACAGTGGGCTGCTGATGTTGGCCCTCCCTACTCTTCCTGGGCCCCTTGGCTCACTTAATTCTGTCCAATGATGGCCCCTCCCTGGAGGCTGTAACCAGCCTGAGGGATGGGAAGGAAGTACAGGTTGGGGGGGGGGATGTCAGGTGGGAATCAGATAATGATTCTGTTGCTTAATAGTGAGTTAACAAGTGCAGGTGCACAGAAGTGAACTCTCATGCTTTTGGGTGTTTCCAGAATAAATGAGACCCTTTTAAATTCAGGCATGAACAGAGTAATAGCATGTATGAGCTTCATCTTTTGTCTTGAAATCAGAGTTCGTTTTGACAGAGAAGCTTGGTAAAAGGTCATAATGAAACATTAAATGCTTTCTTCTGTTTTTTAAATAGTTTAAAAATTCTCCCCTGAGTTTCACTTTACTTTTTTACCCTCAGGGATCTTAATGAATATATATATTCCAGCTCGCTGCCAGTCTTATTCTGGTTTATGGCATGTGTGTAAATTCCTACTGGGGTCACTGGAAATGGAAACTCATTGAAATTACCATTTGTTGGAGCAAGAGTCTGTTCTGTTTTCCTTGATCTTGATGCAGCCAACTTACTTTGTTAACACCCATCTGTCTTACCTGCCGTCTAATCCTCTTCATATTCTGAGTACAAGGTTAAGATCCTCTCTGTGCCAAAGCCAGGGGGCACGCTGGGAACACATACTCTGGAGCCAGTTCCTGGCTGGACTCGGTTCCTGGCTCAACCTCCCTGGGCCTCCATTCCTTCACCTAGAAGACAAACGGATAGTATCTAGTCCCCAGAGTTGTCCTCAGCTTGAATGAGTCGATAATATTCAAAGTATCTGGAACATATTGTGTGTAAGCTATTTTGACAAGAGTCTTCTGGAGCCAGAGCATGTGTATTTAATGTTCGAGTTAATTTAGCAGCCACTCAAAAGCTTACTTACAGCTGGGGTAGATGATGAGGAAATATGTGTGCCACCACCCCCACTGTGAATTGGAACTATCAAGTTGGGAAAGATATGCCACGTCATTTTACAGGCAAGAGCACTGTTTTGCACCTATCCTCTGCTTCCCGAGGGCAATGGGATTTGTAAGAAATGCTTTTTTAAATGTTTGCTGTAGAGATTTCTAAATTTCTTCCTGGAGAAGCACAAGCGACGTGTGTGTGACGCTGACCAGTGGGAGTTCATCAATGGATGGTACGTCCTGGTGATTATCAGCGACCTAATGACAATCATTGGATCCATATTAAAAATGGAAATCAAAGCAAAGGTGAGGACAACCCATTTCAAATCTTATGTTCTTTATATTCTTCTGGATGATGTCAGGCATTTTAAGATATAACATTTTTATGGAGACTGGTCTACTTCTCTTTTCTCACACCCATCCAAGTGAGACCTCCTGTCTCTTAATTTCCTCATAAAGGGAGTGAGGAACCTAGTGTGCGTGGCTACTGATCCTCCTATGACTATCCTCCAGGAAATTTGGTGGCATCTTTGGAATAATAACTGAAGTTTGAGAAGATTGGTTGTTTGGGCCTTATTCATTCATCCATCCATTTATGGTAGTTGCAGAAGGAGAAACTGAGTCATAAACCAATCATTTCCTCTGAACATGCATCAAGAGCTGGTGGTAATGACCCACGAGTATTGGGTACCCTGACAGATGAGGGCAAGGCAGGAATACTTACCAGTCGACCAGTAACTAATTGACACGTTGCAGAAATTAGTTGATTCAATCTCATCACTAGGAGATTGGCTTGAGATTGGCTGGCTCCCTCCTTCACCCAGCCTTCTGCCCTCCATGCTGTATTGTTGATGGATCCCACCAGCTGGCCTCCCACCACCACAGTGCCCATCTTCTCCATCATGGCTGCTGCTGACTTCTTTGGGCCATTCTCTTCTGGCCTGGACTGTCCCAGCAGGCTCCATTCTCGTTTCCCATCTTCAGCCTCATTTCACTCAGATCCATTCACCCAGCTGTCAGAGTAATTTCCTCAGAAGTGTCCATCTTGCTGTTACCCTCCTTCCTACCTCCCAGGACCTACTTTAGGAAGTGGCTCCCGGGTCTCCCTCATCCTGCTCTGTCTCTGTCCCTTGGCTCTCCTCCCACTCCCAACCTTGGCTCTGATCCTGCCTGTTCAGGACAACTTGCTGGTTCTTGGTGTTATGTGTCTGTCTGTTCAGCCTTCGTCCATTTGCCTGTGGAACTTTCTCCATCCCGTCCTGCAGGTGTAGCTCTGCTTTGGGGTCATGCCCCCAAGGGAAGCCCTCTTTGGCAAGCAGAGCATTGTCTCTCTTATTGCACATAATATACTTTATTAGAATTGCATTTATGTGTTTGTGTCCTCAACTAGACCTGGAATTCCTTGAGAGTGGGATTAGCAGATCATGTTGGAATTTGCTTTCACAGGCAGCTGAATTGTATTGTTTGATATTTAATAAACACCTTTTATAATGCCTAGATTGGTGGTGAATGCAATTTCTATTTCAGACTATATGGAAAAAAATCAGTTCAACCCATTGAAATACTAAAAGGAAACAAGAAACAAACATTTGGGACTGCGTTCTATTTTTTGCATTCTTTTTAAAAACTTTTAGTAGCACCTATAGGGAGACAGATAGAACATTCTTTCCAATCCATTGAAAGTGAGGTAAATGATTTATTGCTTTTTTTTTTTTTCATTCCTTAGAATCTCACAAATTATGACCTGTGCAGCATTTTGCTTGGGACATCTACACTCTTCGTTTGGGTTGGTGTCATCAGATACCTGGGGTATTTCCAAGCATATAACGTAAGCATTTGATGCTGGGAAGGACCATTGTGGTTGGGTGGGACTCATTTCTTCTTTGGGTTCCATATCGACTTTTTTATTTCCCCCATTCTGTTAATTCCCTTACTTTTTTCCAGGTGCTCATTTTAACAATGCAAGCCTCACTGCCCAAAGTTCTCCGGTTCTGTGCTTGTGCTGGCATGATCTATCTGGGTTACACCTTCTGTGGCTGGATTGTCTTGGGCCCATATCATGAGAAGGTGTGTAGCGCTCACTCTTCCCTCTGCACCACAGGCCCTTGGGACCTTTATAACGGGTTTGTAGCACTTGCCTTCTAAACATTCTTCCCCAGCACTCACCTGTGATGTCAGTAAGTAGGTGTTTTTATATCAGGTTTGTATCTCTTTCCCTTTTGGGAAATTGAAGTGACTTTAGGATATTGAAACAAGAACTGCAGAAGTCTGGAGAGCATGTGTGTCCTAGTTGTCTATAGTAGGCTTGAGGGGTCACGCATTCACCCAACTAATCATCATGTTACAAGTGTTTGGGCATAAGGTCACTCTAGTAAAAATAAAAATTGAGTGAGAAAAATTATTACAGAATCATTCTACTTCCAAGTCTTAGGGTTTTCGTCCCCGCTAGTTGAGGAGAAGGAAGGTAGTAAAGATTGCCTGGAGGGCCATTTCATCTCTGATGGAAATGAGAACCATCTTTGTGAGTGCCATCTTTGTGCTGGGTTAAAGATCAAAATCTGGGTTTCAAACTATTACTGAGCTTCAGTCATCAATACTGAGCATCATAAACTCAGAAATGCCCGAGTTATGCTAAGATATTCTTGCTTTAAATTGATAAATTTGAGACATCAGGAAATGAAACGAGGTTAAGTAGGGTCTTGTTTTCAAACCACAGAAGTAAAAGTAATGATCATAGCTTCAGTTTTCCTTCCACGGACCCATGGCTGGAATCACAGGAGCTAACACTTGCTGTTTCTGTGTTGGACACCGGGCTGGGCATTTCTGTGTTCTTTTTTATTTCATCCCCACAACTGCCTGGGGTACTGGTATCCTCAGGCACTCTACAGGGGAAAAGAGGCCCAAATGCAAAGGATTGTTTCTAAGTTTGTGTAACAGTGCAACCCTAAGTTTTGACCACGATTAGGTGCATTAAACAAATATGTGATCAACTGTGGTTTGTAGACGGTTCACAGAGAGGAAAATTATCCTTGAAGCTCAAGCCTTCTCTGTTATACAACCAAAAGAAAACCTAGTAACTTGGTACACCCAGGCTTTCCTCTCTGAATGTCTGTCATACTATGTGCAAAGGGAATTACTATTTTTCCTATTTGAGACACTATATAATTAGCAGATAGACAACTTCGGGGTTAATAATAAACCTTGGTAATCTTATTGCTTTTCCAATTTCATGTCACTGCTTTGAAGGTGACTCATGAGTAAAAATTGTTCTCTGATATGATATCTATGATCTGGAGAACTGGTTGTCTCCACCACTAGGAAAATTTACATTTTTGCTCCTTACTTTCTTCATACTCTGAGAACATCTCCATCTCTTTGTCACTAGAGGGCAGTGTTGTACTGTGTGGAACAGATACTGAACCATTGATTTTGATTTTGATCCATTGGCCCCAAGACCTCAGGACAAAGGATCCCATTTCCTTTGTTTCCCCACTCCTGTCTTCCCCACCCCATCATTATTCTGGAATATGCTCAATTAATGTCACTTGAATTTTACTAAATGGCTACCATTTCAGATGTTTTTTTGTTAGGCCTGGTATCCAAGTTCTTTATCTCCCCTACTGCGCTAACCCTCCCAAGTTAGCTTTCTGTCACAGTCAAAAAATACTGAGAGAATCAACTTTTAAGGATAAAAAGGTTTATTTTGGTTCGGCTTCAGAGGTTTCAGTTCACAGTCACTTGGCCCTATTGCTTTGGGCCTGTGGCAAGGCAGTACCTCAAGGCAGAATGTATGGCAGAGGAGGTCTGTTCTCATGGCAGCCAGGAAGGAAAGAAGGAGATGAGAAGGGTCTGGGGTCCCAGGAACCTCTTCAAGGGCCCACACCTGATGACCTACCTGCCTCCCACTAGGCCCCAAGCTTAAAGGTTCCACCTTCTCCCAATAGTGCACAGGCTAGCAACCAGGCTTTTAGCACATGGCTCTTTGGGGAACATTTGAGATCAGAACTACAGTACCTCCCTTCCTCTTCTCTGTGGGAAAATACTGTTATCCTTTTATAGAAATAGAAACCTTAATATATTAAAATTTTCTAGGGTTACCCAGAGAGTGAATGGATTCAAATCCGGATGTACCTGACCTCAGTATAAATGCTTTGACTGGTGTCTGTAGGGCTTCTCTCAGTACTATATAAAATAGATCATTATAAAAGAGCGTTTAGTTTGATCCAAAGTACTTCGAAAGCAACAGTGAGAGAAAAGCCACAGGAATCAGTCTTACTGTCTTGATGTGTGTCAAGATCACCTAGTGGAAAATCAGGTTATTTGCTTGATGAGCCTGACCTCATTTCCATATGTCCAGTTTTGTCTTTTCAAGGGATCTAGGTGAAATTGGGATGCTCTTGGCCAGCACTATCCAGTAAAAATGTGACATAAACTACAAATGTGATTCATGTGTACACTTTAAAATATTCTAGTAGCCACACACAAAAAATGAACAGATGAAATTAATCGTAATTATATTTCATTAAACCTAGTATAGCCAAAATATTATTTTAGCATGTAAGCAATGTAAAATAGTAAGACAGTTTACATTCCTTTTTTTTTTTTTTTCATACTAAGTCTTTGAAATCTATTGTCTATTTTGTCCTCATGGCTTATCCCAATTAAGATAAGTTACATATGAGGTGCTCAAGAGTCACACGTGGCAGGTGGCTCCCATTTTGGTCATTAAACTTGTACACACATTTCTCACTTCAGGTCAGCTTCTTTGTCTCTCTTGGGGAATACAGGCATGAGGGGTGATTCTATAGTTTCCCAGCAGGTCTGTTTATAGCATTCCTCTCTTATCTTTTGCTAGGCTGATGACTGGGAAAATTTAGACCAGTTAATTCAATAAATGCACAAGTCAGGTTCTGAAGTTTTTGCTTTTCTGCTCCATATTTCTGCCACTTTTAATCTGAAGTTTGAAAATTTTACCGCTCCCTGTCCCAGCACTCCTAAATTAATCCAAAGTGTCAGAATTTTCTGATTCTTCCAGTAGTCATTGAATCAGAGGACCTTGAGTGTTACTCAAAACCCTGAGGAACTGAGCATCCCAGCAAGCATTTTCTACTGTTTTAAAAACACAGTGACTTTAAGGGTTAAAGCTAATTCTTTCTTTGAAACAAGCAAACAACTCTAAAGGGCGGGGGCATATCAGAAAAATTATAATTTGGTGCTACTGTTTGGTAGCTGGAGTCCCATGACATTTCATCTTCCTGTTTTTCTGTTAGACAGTTGATTTCACTGGTTCAACTGAAGGGGAGCAGAGGTACAAAAAGTGTCCCGCCGATATTCATTTCTAGCCCTAATGGACTTTGGCACCAGGCCTTTTCAAAATGTCTGGGCACAGAGAGCTAAAGACTGTTGATGTTCTTCCAGACCTCATCGTGAATTATTAAACATTACGCTAATGTGGCTTTTATAGTTCCAGGGACTTTTTTTTTTTTTTAACTTGGAGGGATAAATAATGGTTTTGCATTGTCCACATTTTACAAATGAAAAGACCAAGGCATTGAAAAATTGTTGGACTTTGCTGATGCCAGCAATAAAATTCTGCAGACCTGATATACCTTCATGCCTCTAAGGCCTCTGGTTTTAACCAAGTACCTCTTATTCCAAAGAAAAGCTAGTTAGTTAAAACATATTATCTAAATATTGCATGAGATTCTGGTCATCAGCTCTCGAAGCAAACTTTTCTTTTTTCTTTTTCTTTTTTTTAAAGAGTGTGTGAGAGAGAGAGAGAGGGAGAGAGAGATAATTTTTTTTTAACATTTATTTTTTAGTTTTCGGCGGACACAACATCTTTGTTTGTATGTGGTGTTGAGGACCGAACCCGGGCTGCACGCATGCCAGGCGAGCGCGCTACCGCTTGAGCCACATCCCCAGCAAACTTTTCTATCATTCTCCAACATAAGCTATTGAAAATTATGTTTGTATTTAAGTGAAAGGTCTTTTTGGCTCAATCACTAAATTATCATTCATGAAATGAATGTTTGGATTTGCAGTGTGGTCCTGTAGAAACTACGGGGACTTTTTATGGAAATACCCATTTAATTTTTATTAAATGTCTGCAGTGCATCAGACTTTGTCAGTTTCTTCTAGATGAGTTCTTGGGAGGCAGAAACTATGGCTTATTCTCTAGGTTCCCAGTGTCCAGTCTCAGGACAGGTGGCAGGTGCCCAGAAAGTTTTGTTGAAAGAGAGACAGCAGTACTTACTTTCCAGGGTCCAAGATCTCATGAACCAAAACAAGCTGGGCATGGTGGCATACACCTCTAATCCCAGTGGCTCTGGAGGCTGAGGCAGGAGGATCCTGAGTTCAAAGCCAGACTCAGCAATTTGGCAAGGCCCTAAGCAAGTTAACAAGACCCTGTCTCTAAATAAAACACATAAAGGGCTGGAGATGTAGCTCAGTGGGTGAGTGGCCTGCATTCAATTCCTGGTACCCTATCCCTCCCCCAAAAAACAAAACAGTGCCCTGTAAATGTGGTCCTTCTAATTGGAAGCACATTATGATGTTACTTTGTATTTTAAGATAATTTCTATGGGATTTGGCCACTGAGACTGACTCTGATTTATAGCTAATTCTTGTAATACAGAAATGACAGGGAATTCACCAATCAATTTATTTGGTCTCAGTTGTAACTTTTTGATGGGCTATAATAATTCTTAGGTCTACATAGGAAGGAGAGGTTTAATGGTTATGAATAATATTAATATTGAGGCAGATGGTATGTCTAGGCTGAAATTAGATAACTACATAGAAAATTAACAAACTATTATGGTAGGAACTGAAATTAAATAACCATAGAAAACTCAGAAACTAATATGGTAGGTACTGACTAATTAGGTATTTACAGTTCTGAAACCTGAACCACAAACTGTTAGGGGGTTTTAAACTAAAGAAAGGAATTGACCAGATTCTTAAAGAAACATTGAGGAATACAGTAGTATTCCAGAGTAGTTACTGACATCTATAGAACCAGCTTAACTTCACCAGCTTATGACTAGTAGACAAGAGGAAAATATTTATACTAGGAATTGCCTGTCTTACTGTGAAGTAACCTGCATATTAAGTGCATTGCTCACCTGGATGTTCCCTACATGTCTCTATGGAGAGTATCTTTAATTCAGTTTCTGAAAATTGTCGATTTAGCAAAGTATGTATGTGATTATTGTTTGGGCCACCAACTTCATCCAGCCCAATCCAGCCATGGGACAAGAAGTATAAGATGTGGTGTTTATTCATAGGGATAAAAAGAAGTGTGCATTGCTCTGTGGTTCTTGCTGATACAGAGAGCAGAGAAAGAACTGGAACTGCCAGGGCAGGCTGTCTTGAAGCAGACTTTGAATTGGTCCTTGAACTTTGACTTGAAGGAAAATACATGAGATGAAGAGAATAAATCCCATGAGGACAAGACATAGACCATGGGCATGGTGCTGTGGGCAGAGACAAGCACAGGATGTTCATATTTACAGTGAAGGGAGGCAGAGAGGCCGCATGAAGGAGGAACTTACTCCAATCTTCTTGGTTGGGTTTGTACTTTGCATCCAGACTTTGTCTAACCTTAAGCAAGAGAAATGACCTGAAACCCATCTTCATCTATGAAATTTAGGTTTCACTGCAGCTTGGATTGTAGGGTGAAGAGGTTGGAGTGAAAGACACTTCCTTGGCAGTTTCAGTAATAATCCACTTATAAATGTTGATAATCAGAGTGGAGTAAAAAAAAAGTGGATCAGAGAAACATGTCGAAAGAACAGGCCTTAGAAGATTGAAGGGACGGAAGATCAAAATTCCACACATAGTTTTAAGTACTTGACTATTTTGGAGCTAATGATCCTTAGATAGGAGATTGGATTCAATGACAGAAATCAGTAAGTTTGGAAGGAATGTCCCTTTTCCTGGTTAGGGGGTGGGAGGTTTATTTTGTTGCATGTGAAGTCGTAGCATGACTTCTGAGTGAAGGTGTCCCAGACATTCATCAAGGGCATTCGAACCCCCTAAGCCACACTGACTTAATGGGCATACAGGCCGTTGCTGCTAAGGGTAGAAGTACAGGAACTTGGTTCATCTGTTTCTTAAAATATCTTGTTGCTGGGGATGTAGCTCAGCAGCAGAGCACTTGCCTCGCATACGCAAGGTCCTGGGTTCAGGTTTAGCACCGGAAAAAAAAAATCTGTATTGTCTTTTGTGTACTAGTTCATTATTATTCTTTAGATAGAAGCGTTTCACAGGCACCTAATATTTAATCCTCTGGCCCTAGAGATAAGCCCACTAAGCACTGCTATTTGTTCTTAGTGGATGTGGTAAAGTTTGTCAACTGTTCAAATCCAAGACAGCTGGAGGTTCCAAGGTTTATGGTGTTCCCCAGGGGCTCCTCAACTCCAGGTGCACACCTTCAACTAAAATACCTAGTCTGTGGCACTCAGACTCACCTTGTCTAAACATGAGTCCTTTTAGTCCCTTCCCTCAGCCCTGCCGTAGATACAACTTCCCTACCTCTGGTCATGAAGTCTCTTGTCTTACTTGGACTTCCACTGACTCTGACTGGCATCCTGCCCTGGACTCTTCCTCTTCTAGATCTTCTGTGTGCTTGTTCTTGGTTACTTTGAGGAATGCAGATCATGTTCCCCATCTGGTTTGAATTTCTTTTACTTGTGTTTACTTATAGACTAGATTAAGCCTGAAGTGTATAAAGGGCCCAAGGAGGCCCTATGCAGTGTGATGTGGACATCCCTCTCCAGTCCCTGCTCCTGAGGCTCAGCATCATGCATCCCCATAGTCACTGGACACATAGTCTCTCTCACTGGGGAGCTACTCAGCCTTTGGTCCTGGTCCTGGTCTGAGGGTCCCTTACCATGTATGGCCCACCTCCACTACGCCACAGGGCTTTATCATACACCTTGGCTGTGTGGCCTGTCTACCTGGTAACAGGGAATCCTAGGATTAGCCATGTTTAGTTATTTATCCTTCAATACTTCCTGCCTCTGGGCAGCCTTTAGTTTTTAATGTGCTAAAATTACTTGAACCCATGTTTGGAAAGTTTACAGGGAAACCATTCACATAGCATAACTTTTTGGTCCCATATTATGTCCCAGCCTCTTATATCTGTTGCTGGTGTTAGTGTACAGCCACCATAGTTCTTCCGAAAGCAGTTTAGCAGACTGTAACCTTAAAAATGTTAACAGCTTAGACCCAATAACAGGAAAAAACATTGTGCATAGAAATGTTCATTACATTGTTATACTTTATAATAGCAAACCTGGAATATCCAGTGGCTGGGAAGTAGTTAAATTTGGCATGTTCAAGAAATGGTCTATTAGATAACAAGTGCTCTCTATGCATGAATAAGAAGATGCTTTGTTAAATAGAAAAAAAAATCAGGATCCAAATTTGTTAAATGAAGTAACCGTGAACATATACAAAATGCATGGTAAAAAGCCAAGGGAAATGTCAAAAGATCTTCTTTGAAAGTATGGAATGGGTATTGAATAATGTTTGTCTAGTTCTTTTGGTGTTCTGTCTTCTACTAATGACAAAAACAACTTTAAGAAAACTCTTAAAGCTCTCTGCTCTGGAGCCTACTTTATCTCAGAAGCTGATCTGTTTCCCTCTTGCAGTTTGAAAACCTGAACATAGTCGCCGAGTGCCTGTTTTCCCTGGTCAACGGAGACGACATGTTTGCAACCTTTGCTCAAATCCAGCAGAAGAGCATCTTGGTGTGGCTATTCAGCCGTCTGTACTTGTATTCCTTCATCAGCCTTTTTATATACATGATTCTCAGCCTTTTTATTGCACTTATTACGGATTCTTATGACACCATTAAAGTAAGTTGTTATCTATATTTGCTACAAAAAACAAAACAAAAAAAAAAAAACAAACCACCATAAATTCTGTATAGATTGGAAGACAGGAAAATATATTTTACTTAAAATATTATAATTTTATTTAGATTTTGAAGATTTATAGAAAATACACTTTTAGATGCTGGAAAATAATTTTGAATATGCATTTAGGACAATGTCCCTGTTACCCAGACCTGGTGTATTGGTTTGTAGGTGTGGTGGAAAAGAGAAAGGAAATAGGAGAGGAGGTGAGACCAGTAGCTGGGCACCTTTCTAGGCACTGATGGACACACCTACCTGCATGGCTACCTGGAACTTAGGTATTGGGTGATAAATTTCAGGGATGAGAGATGATTGCCACCCTGACCACTGTCCAGATATTGCCGGACCTTATACTGAATGAATTGGCCACTTGCATGGTGCAGGTTTCCTTTAAGTCAGGAGGGTGAAGGGTTTTTCTCTGTTTAGCTTGGACCTTTCTAAGCCACCTGGCTGGGCCTAATTTATCAGTTCGTATCTTGAGGGAAGTTGGCCTCCCCAGGCACCTGCACAGCAGATGGCTATTCTTGGAAGACCTCTTCAGGGCCAGTGCCTGAACAACACTGGGTACCATGTCGGCACCTTCAGTGCTGTCCTCTGCTTAACCCTTCCCCAGACTAACTCAGAAGAAAGCCAGGTATTGACTTAGTGGGGATTAGCATCCAGCGGGGATGGTGGTTGACTCCAACAGCAGGACATGGCTGAGGGAGACCTGCACGCTCTTGCTGTGGAGTTTGGTGTCCATGAGTGGCGGTGTCCCTGTGCATGGGCAAGCCTCTTGTTGAGTTCAGTGACCCCACCAATTGTGAAGGGAAGGGGTCCTAGGCCTAGGGTCTTTGTTTCTGCTTGGAAAAAAATCTACTTCTTTCTGTCTCAGTGGTCAATTTCACAGGCAGATTCTACCTTGGCAGGGTGTGGAGTGGGAGGTCTTATATAGTCTTGCAATTAGCATTCTAGCTTTAGACTTTGGACTATTTCCCTCCCTTGCTCTCCCTGGCTTTCTTTCTGGAATTTTCCTTTAGTTTGTTCTCTGTTCCCATGGTGGCCTTGTCTTGGCTGTTCTGGGACTGACAGATTAATTCATCATTGCCAATATCACTTACTGGATCTCAGCTTGCACTGTGGGAGACTTTTATTTTAGCAAAGGTGAATTTGGTTTGTTGACAAAGGGAGCAATTTCTCATGCTCTATAGAGAGGGTAACAACATTGTGTGCTTTTTTAAAGAAATACCAGCAGAATGGATTTCCTGAAACGGATCTGCAGGAATTCCTGAAGGAATGTAGCAGCAAAGAGGAGTATCAGAAAGAGTCCTTGGCCTTCCTGTCCAGTGTCTGCTGTCTGAGGAGGTCAGTATTGTGTTTAATCTCCACCATCCAGAGATGAGCTACTCCGTTGCCTTAGGAAAGGGTTGCTCCAAGGTTAACCCTACACTCTGGAATCAGTTTGTTGTGGGAGATATTTCATCCTTCATTATTTTCCTCCCTAAATTGGCTTTCGAAAGGAATTATTTCTTGCAAAACAGGGTTGTGTAGAAAGCTGCATGACATGATTGCAATCTCTTAGGGATATCATGAGACCTATTTACAGAAAGGCATGAATTAGACCCCAAAAGTCAAGAGGCAGGACTTTCAAGTGGCTACAGCAAGAGGTCAAAATTAAGAACTCTTGATTTTGGAGATGGAAGTCTGAGAATGTCAAAGGCGTTTTCCCTTCTTATAGTTTATGGTGCAAATAACCTTCTTGAGAAGAGCAGCAAACCCACCCGTAGAGGAAGCTCTTCATTGGAGAGCTGTGCTTTGCTTGCTGTCATCTGGACTGTTAGGAAAATTTCCTCAACCTCAGTGAACAAAGGATACCGCACCATGGTTTGGGGTTTAGAATGGGGGTCAAACAAGGACAGTTTTCTTAAATGATCCCATGTGTGTTTTCATCAAAAGTCAGGAATGGAAGTTTTTAACTTAAAGTATACCCTACCCATGATTTTGAGAAGGCTTCTCTAAAATCAAATTCCTAAGGAAGATGGGGGAACATAATTGCCACTTAAAACTTCAGGATGTATTTTTCTGTTAATCAATTCTTACTGCATCTTGGGACTTGAAATGATCTGATTGAGCATATCCAAAGAATGTCTGGTAAATATGAAATGAGGTCTTCTAAGAAGACTTGAATCTTCAAAATCATATTTCATCCTCTGTGAGCATTAAATTGTTGCTGTGGAAACTGAGATAAAGGGAAAATAATTTTCTTAATAGGCAACTGCCTTCTGGGAGTTGGCCTGGGTAAGGAAAGTATCTCAGAGTTGCTTTTTTCTATTATGTTGTTAAATATAAGGGGGGAAAATTTACTGGGAAACATAGTTGTGAATTCTGAAAAGTGACTGATGGTCTGTGGTGTTTACCATGTGGACCTTGGTTTGCATCATAAAGAGCCCTCCGAGGCTATTAAGGATTTTCTTGTGCAGCCTTATGGAATAATGAAAGATTTAAAGGCAGGACTGGGAGCCTGATTGCCAAGACTGGGTTTGACAGGTGAGAAGAAGGGAGCAAACTCAGCAGACCATTGCTAAGGGTTATTTGGAAGATGCATGGTATGAGGGAGGGTGTGTCCATGGCAGGAATGAAAGAATTTAAGGGAACAAGAGAATTCACCAAGAAAATCAAGAGCAGAAGTATGATGAAAGTTTTGATAAAAGAGGATATCAAACAAGACTGAGGTCGCTGTCACCATGTTTGCCCCAAATGTGGCTATGATTAAAGTCAGCTAGACCTGGGGGTTGTATGGACCTTGCAAAGAGCAAGTGAAGGCCACGGGGTCTGATGGGAGGAAGTGGATCTTAAGGAGGCCTTGAGACCAAGTGACAGCTTTGACTCCATCAATAATTATGCCCTAATGTGCTTAAAGGCTAGGAACAGAAGAATGAATGAAATTGAGGAAGGCTATAAATGCATAGTAAATGTTGAAGAAGGACCTCCCTGAGGCAACCCAGGGAAGAGATGCACTGTAGAGATTGGTGTCCAGTCCACATTATAGACCACATCCTTCCATACCAGCTCTGCCTCTGGCAAGATGTGGGCGTGGTCACTTCTTTTTTTTTTAATGTGGTGCTGATGATCAAACCCAGGGCCTCACCCATGCTAGGCAAGTGCTGTACCACTGAGCTACAACCCCAGTCCCTGGTCACTCCTTTTCAACAAAGCAGTTCAGCAAACCCTCACACATTGATCCTCCTTTGGATTGTTGACAGAGCTCCTAGCTTGATCATCGGAACACTTGGGTTTTGTTTGGGGGCATGCCACTTATCAAGTGTGTTCTGTGACCTCTTCTCAACCTCTTGGTTCCTCCACTGGTGAGGAGGTGAGCCATCAGGATGAACTAAGTGGTCTCTGAAACCCCTTCCAGGAATAAAGTGACATGGCTTTCGGTTAAGAGATGCTTGTGTAAGCAGATGTGAATTAAACTTGCCTCTTCTCTCCTGCAGTGAAGGAGGGAAACCAGCCTTTAAGCCATTGATAGGCTTTGTTAGAGAAGGGGAAAGGGAAGTCCTAAGAGATGGACAACTGCGCAAGTGTGTTTCTGCAAATGTCTACTCAGATCTCAAATAATTTAAATTTCCCTTCTTAGTCTGTTTTATTCTTACTTATTTCACTCATATAATCTATGTGTGCCTAGAATAGAGTATTTCTGTATCTTTGTGAAGATTTTTGAATCATTGCTTTTTTTTCCCCCCACCCCCTTTCTGTTACAGGAAAGGAAGTGATGACCACCTGATACTTATTAACTAAAGTCCTGCTAAAGAACTAAGTGTCAGGCCTCCTTTTCCAGCAGCAATGCTAATAGACCCCAGATTATCCTGGACCAGTAATTCCTAAAGGATTGTCTTATTTAATTGTGGATTGGGAAAGAAGAGCGACAGTCAGCTGGCTGACCATGACCGAAGTTCCAAACTTTATATAAAAAGTTGGAGGGTGAAGAATAGACCACGGGCTGCTACTGGGCATCAGTGCAATTAAGCAGTGATAATGAAATTCTCTACTGCTCTCTTAATTTATGACATGATGCTGTTGGGATGGAAAAAAAATCCCTTTTTAGACTGTACAAAACAATGATGTTGAAAGCCATGTATTTAAATGTGTGTGTTTATTGTCAGATAAGGATTTGTATTAATAGTGATTATTAAGTTCAAAGACATATGTTAATTCATGGTCTGCACAGAAATATAGTTGGATGCAATACCAAATTAAGACTCTGTGCTGGAGAACTATTAAACCATATTGAGATCACACTCCATTCAACAGAAAGACCTGCAATAGACAATTCTTTTTTTTTTTTTTTTTTTGGTGTAGGATCCATTTTATTTTTTTTATTTTTTTTTTTTAATTTTTTATTGTTGGCTGTTCAAAACATTACATAGTTCTTGATATATCATATTTCACAATTTGATTCAAGTGGGTTATGAGCTCCCATTTTTACCCCATATACAGATTGCAGCATCACATCAGTTACACATCCATTGATTTACATATTGCCATACTAGTGTCTGTTGTATTCTGCTGCCTTTCCTATCCTCTACTATCCCCCCTCCCCTCCCCTCCCCTCCCCTCCCCTCCCCTCTTCTCTCTCTGCTCCCTCTACTGACATTCGTTTGTCCCCCTCATATTATTTTTCCCCTTCCCCTCACTTCCTCTTGTATGTACTTTTGTATAACTCTGAGGGTCTCCTTCCATTTCCATGCATTTTCCCTTCTCTCTCCCTTTCCCTCCCACCTCTCATCCCTGTTTAATGTTAATCTTCTTCTCATGCTCTTCGACCCTACTCTGTTCTTAGTTACTCTCCTTATATCAAAGAAGACATTTGGCATTTGTTTTTTAGGGATTGGCTAGCTTCACTTAGCATAATCTGCTCTAATGCCATCCATTTCCCTGTAAATTCTATGATTTTGTCATTTTTTAATGCAGAGTAATACTCCATTGTGTATAAATGCCACATTTTTTTTATCCATTCATCCATTGAAGGGCATCTAGGTTGGTTCCACAGTCTAGCTATTGTGAATTGTGCTGCTATGAACATGGATGTAGCAGTGTCCCTGTAGCATGCTCTTTTTAGGTCTTTAGGGAATAGACCGAGAAGGGGAATAGCTGGGTCAAATGGTGGCTCCATTCCCAGCTTTCCAAGAAATCTCCATACTGCTTTCCAAATTGGCTGCACCAATTTGCAGTCCCACCAGCAATTCTTGATCTATTTTCTTGCAAGTTTTCTTCTTCAACATGTTTTAAGTGACTTTTGGCGTAGTCAATCAGATGAATTGGAAACAGAACATGAGGATACCTCGTCACTTGTGCTAATTCCTGATTGTGCACACATGACATGTGGCAGTGAACTGTAGCAATGGTCACTCATTTTAACAATTGCTCTCCACTGTGGTGGAGACTTCAGCTTTGTTAAGCAAGGAAATACGGTATATTTTTCCTTAAATAAATTTATTTTTATTGTACCATATTGCACTATTATTATTTATTAGTATCTTTTAACATCTACCTAGTAAAAAATTCAGGTCACATTTCTACTAACTACCTGGTATATAAAAGGGACAGGGGTCAACAATTTTTAATTTTGTGGCGAAGACTAGAACTTGGGTCGAGCAGGACTCTCATCCTTGGATTGCTCCTTTTTTCCCTGGCCTCAGCCATGCCTCTCCCCTGCAAGCCTTACCTTCCTCTCTCTCCTTTCCCCACTTTTCAAGTGCACACACCAAATCTAGGCAGGGAAGATCATCTAGTTCATACCACTGAAGTTCTTAAAGGAGTACGTAACTCATGTCTACACTCAGAATACTTTGATAAAATTATCATTTTAGTTAATTTTTTATGAAAATGTCAAGAGTTATGTTTAATTTTCAACCTAACAACCTTTAAACCGATGGTTCTGAGATCATTTGCCTGATTCCATAATCAGGGACATAATTGGGCCACTTGTTAACTTCTGAGAGTAACCCCATGTACTTAGTTTTGTCTCTGAATGGAATCTCCTCTCAGTCTGCAGCTGTGACTGCCATTTGAGTAGAGGATTAATGATGGTCTTCCTGATTCATGTTAGTCTTTTATTGACTTTCATGTTTCCTTTTCTTTTCCCTCAAGCTGGATAAAGAAAAATCTTTTTTCAAGGTTACTCTGCATCTATGGAAACATTGTTTTGTCCCTTTTTAGTGATTTTCAACAATTCTTACTTTACCAACTGTATTATCTGATTTTATTGAACAATGTTAACTCATACTCTGCTAATAGACCAAATCTGGGACAAACCATTTTCTCTCTTCTCCTAGGCCTCCACTTGGGGAGTTGACTGTAAAAGTTAGGAGTCATATCCTTTCTGCTTAATGACTTCATTCTCTAATCTTCCTTTGTAGAATTTACCTCCTTGGCTTGCAGTGAAAACAGTCAAAGCCCCATGTAGCATCTTAAGCTCAATGACTTGGGATGGTAAAAGAGTGTGGGTATGGAAGCCATCAAGATAGATTTGAGTTAAAATTCCAGTCAATTTTCATGTGTGTATGGTCCTGGGCATGGGCCTCATGCATGTAGCACTGTATCTCTGAGCTACATCCCCTGCCCTTTAGAATTTCAGTTTAGGTGGCAGCTTTGGGGTCCTGGTAGGTAAGTCGCTTCTTGCTTCTCAGTGATGATAAATCTCAATAAATTTGGATTGGCATTTAAGTCATACCATTCATGCCACACCTGGCATTGAAACCTAAGCTGTTCTTTCAATTGTCTGCCATGTTTGAAGTAGGTTTCACTTGTCCATGGAATTGTGCAGACATTTAGAGCTTTGCTTCTGCAACATATCTGACAGGGCTCTCCTCCTCCTCCTCCTGAGTCTCCTTGGACAGATCTCCCTATCTGTAAAATGGAAATTGTGAGAATTACATACATTAAATGTGAGTGCCTAGAACAGGACATGACACCTAAGTGCTCAGTGGACATTAGCACTTAAAAAAATTTTTTTGGCATGGTCTATATGTGTACAAATATGTTCACCCAGGCCAGTCAAAAAGATCTTTATTTCCTAAGGAGCTCACCACACAGTTTTGGTGGACTTTGTTTTGATAAAGATTTTATGAGTGCAAAATTCCTTCATCTAGCTCTGTCCTGGAGACAATTATCAATTCAGTCCTAACAAGCTCACACTTAATTTTGGAGGAGCAGCATGAAGAAGCAGCCCAAATGGCCCCCCACCAGGGGGACAGCTGTCCTGATGGAAGGGTAATGGTCTTGAAGGTGTACACACTGGCCCTCAGTCCTCTCATAGGGGACTTTAGCAGACTTGTCAGAACATGGAAAACACATGTCAGCTTGCTTCTCAGCCTGCACCTATCCAAGGTAGTGAGTGCAAAAGGGTGAGGGGTGGTATTTAGGAAAAGTCCTTCATAGGATTCCGGTCACCACCTACCAGATCCTGCTGAGGGCCTATACTCTAATAATGGTGGAGAGGTGTGCAGAGACCAGGGGAGGCCCAGCCTTGGAATCCTGGATTTATGAATGCAGCACTAGCCCAGCCTTTCAACCTAGGGGCAAATAGCCTGTCGCCCTCTGTTGCCTGAGGACCTTCTTGTAAAAATAGCTCAGCACTGGCACTGATGTTCAAGGGCCTTAAAGTCATTAGCAAAGTATGCTCAATAATCCATTCCTGCGTTCTTGGCCACAGATTTGTTTCCTGATAATAATATAAAGTGCTGCAATGCTCATAGATATGATCCCATATATCTGAACAACTCTCCTATAACAGCTGCTTGTTGAAATATCATTGGATGAACAAACCTTATTGCAATCAGTTTCTTTTTTATTTTCATGCAACTTGGGAAATTTTTATTTTGCTTTGCCTGACACTGAGTTTGAATATCTCAGCTATTTTCCAGTGACACTGAGTCTTTCTCTACAGGCATCTAGAATCTTACACTACATGTAAAAAATGCTTGAAGTGTCTTTTGCTTGATAGGTGGAAGGGGACCTCATAGCTAAATCCAAAGCACAGCTTTCTGATTCTAGACACTATAGGAAGAACAGTGAACCACTGGCACAGGAACAGGAATCTGGTGATTTGATATATCTAAGCAAATGCTAAGCAGCTCAGCTTTCTTTCTTTCTCACTTGAGATGTTCCAGTCTCTTGCTACTGATGATATGCAGGACTGGCTTTGTGGCTGTGTGACCTGTGCATTTTTGAAGGACCATCTGTTTGGTTTACTGATCTATAATGACAGTCTTGAAATTCTTAGTGGCGTATGTGTGTGTGTGTGTGTGTGTGTGTGTGGTATTGGGAATTGAACCCAGGAGTGCTCTACCTCTGAGTCACATCCCCAGTCCTTTCTATGGTTTTATTTTGAGACAGGGTCTCTAAATTATTGAGGCTGGCCTTGAACTTGCGATCCTCCTGCCTCAGCCTCTTGAGTTGCTGGAATAACAAGTGTGCATCACCCCGTTGGGTTTCTTAGTGCTTTTTGGACAACGCCCCCCACCATATGTACATTTTTCAGGGCATCTCACAAGTCAGATGGTGAATCTAGATGACATGATTTTTTAACTCAGTCATTAAAACATGGCCTTTTAAGGAAAGTCTAGAATTAATTAAAGGGAAGAGTGAGCCTAAGTTGGAATTTCTTTTTTTCAAAACTAGACTTCACTTTTCAGAGCAGTTTTAAGTTCACAGCAAAATGGAGATGAAAGTACAGAGAGTTCCCATATCTCCCCTACTCCCACACAGCACAGCCTCTCCCTTATCTACATCCCACACCAGAATAGTACATTTGTTACCATCTCATCAATGAACTTACATCGACACTCCATCACCCAAAGTCCACAGTTTACTTTAGGAGTCACTTTTGGTGGTGGACACTCCATGGGTTTGCACCAATAGTAGCATGTATCCACCATTACAGTGTCATATAGAATAGTTCCCCTGCCCTGAAAATCCCTCTCTCTGCCTGGTCATGCCTCCCTCCTCCTTGCTCCAACTCTTGGTAACCATGGGTCTCTTTGCTGTCTTCATAGTTTTTCCTTTTTCAGAATATGATATAGTTGGAACGCTTCAGTAATACATCACCCTTTCAGACTGGCTTCTTTATATATACGTGTAGGTTTCCTCTTTGTCTTTTCACAGAATCACTTTTCATCAGGCATTTTGAGCACAGCCTTTTTCATGTCTGCACAAATATGTGGCTGTGGAGCTGCTTCTCACCTCAGCAAGATGGAGACTGAACCTCTGTGGTTGGTGATGTTGATCAGTTTCCACATTGTTTGGGCAGGCTGGGTGATGTGGTGATTTCCTTTGCTTCTTCCCAACCTCTTTCAGTGAACAGTCTTATTTTCTTATTTACGGTGACTTGACTTCTAACCTCAAGTGTGTTTGTCCAGTTGCTGTAGGACCTTGGACCTCACACAGTGAGGCCTTTGGGGACCTGTCTATACACAGGACCTACAGACATTCTCTCCAAGCTCTTCTCAGTCCCTAGCTTTCAGTCTGAAGGACCTCTCTGTGCATGGGAACCAGTAGGATTGTTAAACATGCCGTATCTTTGAGAACAGAGCACATTAGTAATGGGAGGCCTTAAAGTAAAACCCACATTCAAAGTAAATTCTCAGTTTGCCAAGGAAAAAAATAGAGCTCATGGATGTTCTGCTATGGGCTCATTTACAGCAAATGCTGTGGCAAACCAGTGCGTGAAAATGTTTCTCTTGCCATCTGTCTCTGCCAGAGAAACAGAGAACGCATGAGAAGCATATGAACATTCCATACCACCTTACATAACACGGACAGCAAAACTCTGACTTCCTAAAGACCCCTGGGAGCTATTGGCTGTGGTGAATGGAGGAGACAATTTATTAGCGTGATGTATGTTTCTTAGTTTCTAATGATACATAAATTATCCCATGAGCCATGATACATATGGTTTAAAGAGAATTTTAAATGAAAGCAATTTTTTTTTTCCTAGCAACACTAATTGCCTAGCAGCAGTAAATTACTCATCTCCTGCTGCCTGTGGGCTGTGGTCATTACTCTCTCCTCGAGGTTGAGCAGATGTCCCCCAAGAGGGATGTTTGCTCTGACAAAGGGAATTTATATCCTCACTTGTGAGCCCGCCATGCCAGGTCTACAGAGGAAATGCCTTTCAGACCCAGAACCTATGTTTGTGTCATTCCACACATGTCATCTGTGATGACAGGACGGTGAGTTTGGTCTTAGCTCTTCTTTGCCTCTGGGGGGAAATCAGAGTGCTGCTATCAATATTTAATCTTCTCCAGCTGTGGGGTTTAAAGGTGGTCTTAGCTAATAAGCATGGAAGTTTCCTAAGTGCCAGGCATGGGAAATGATAAGCATCATTAGTTTTGGAAAACACTAGATATCGACTTGATGTGTAGAAAGAAAATGATGGTGCTATTAAAGACCAATTTGATATGTATTTGTTGATTTCCAGGACTGTGTTAGGTACTAAGGAATGAGTGACAAGACCCCTGCCTTTAGCAGGTTTGGTGTCTAGTGGTAGAGACAGCCTTGTAAAAAGCAAGGATAATACGAGGTCAGCCCCAGGTGCTACGTGAGAGCAGAATGGAATTGCTCCTGTTTCCCTAAAGTATAAACCAAAGCTTCTTAAAGAGACTAGACAATGCTAGATCTGAGACTTGAAGAATAAATTGCATTTCACCACAGGAGGGTTTTCTATATTAAGGGAACAGAATGGCAAAGACTCATGTCACAGGGAGTGGGAGATGAGATGAGAGAGAACCTGGTCAGTCAGGAAAACATGGCAGGGCAACAGGGAATATGTATGCCCTGGGAGAGCTTTAGACCTGGGAGCCACCAGACCAGAAAAGGCAGAATTGTGGAGGACAGATTGGAGGAGAGAGAAAGACAGACAGAGGGGGCTCTTACCCTGTATTTAAACACAATAATAAACACAATGAGAAAATTTTCCTGAAAATTATCTCTAAGGATATATATCAGATTGTGTATATATGTTTTCATTATCTGTATACATATTCTTCTTCTTCAGAAGACTTTGAGTCTTCCTGCTTTTGAACTATATACTGAAAGAAGGAGGTATCCTTTCATAACTTCTATTATTGAGAAATACATGTGTTAGGATGAATGGGTTGAATTTCTTTCTTTTTCTTTTTTCTTTTTTCTTTTTTTTTAGAGAGAGAGAGAGAGAGAGAGAAAATTTTTTAAATATTTATGTTTTATTTTTAGTTTTCAGTGGACACAACATCTTTATTTTATTTTTATGTGGCGCTGAGGATCAAACCCAGAGCCCCGCACTTGACAGGTGAGCACGCTACCACTTGAGCCACATCCCCAGCCCAATGAGTTGAATTTCTATCATTTGGATATTTCTCCTTCCTGAAGATTTAAGAAAAGAAGCTTATCCGAGACTCTGTTTCTGCATCATCCTTCCTCAGTCACCCTGGCCCTCACACATTCTGTAGTCCTCTGACCTTGGCCAGCAGCAGTTTCGTGGCATAAAGGTAACAAGACTTGCAGGTGCTCTCACTAACAGGGTCAACCTGATATCCATAGCCTGAAGGTTACCACTGCACAGGTGTGTTATGAAGACTCCACCTGCCCCCTGCTCCCTACCAGTGACCACCATCAAGATTTGGGAATGGGATGACAAAGGTTTAGAACTCAGTGTGGCTGCCAGGGAGAGGGTGTTTGAAGTAAATACTAGGAAATGCATCCCTTTTACCTTCCCTCAGGCTGGGGCAGCTTGTCGGGTACTGTGTGGGAGGCGAAGGGTTAGGAGAAGGGGGTTGTGAATGGATGGAGGACTATGAAAAAGGATTGCTTTGTGCTTGCTCCTGTAACTGCCTCTCTTTGAAAGATGGTAGTGAATATAACCATATTAAAGGAATGTTCCTGAGTCCAGCTAGCCTGAGACTAGGAAGACGGGGCAGGGAGGGCAGCACGGCCCCCACCTCACAATCAAGACAGATTTGCACAGATGCCTGAGTGAAGTAGGCATTGATTTGCCTCCTTCCATTTGACCCTCTGCAAGTTGTGCCCAAACCAACCCCAGAGATGCCTCCTTCATCTTCCAATAGCTTCCAGGTAGCAGACTCCTAACACTTTCTTAGTATTCCGTGTTGGTGGGCAAAGAGCAGGGTTTTCCTCACCTCTTCACACAGGTCAGGGGGACCTGGCTAGGTGTCGGTGGTAACAGAGAACTCCTGCAGCCCTGCAGCTTACCATAGCACAGAGAACCTATCTTTGTCCTAGGAGGCACAGTGGGCAGCCTGGCACAGACGGCTGGAGGTTCTGCCCTCTGCAGCATGCTTATAGGACCAACTGTGACCTTATGGTGATCCTTACCAGCACAGTGACCCAGGATGATCATCAAGACACAAGGGGGAAACCATCATTGTCACACTCAATCCTGGAAAATAAGATCTCTCCATCTAGATCTGATCCTGGTGAAAATGTGTTCTATCTCAAGGGAGGCTAACATGGAGACTGCTTCCTTAGCAGTCTTGACTGCTTTTCTCTTCCTGGAAAAGCTTTTAAGAAATCAGAGTAATGGATGGAGAAAGGGTTGGGTGGATCCATGATGATTCTTCTACTAGATTTTATCTCCCTTGAGTAAATGATTCCACAATCCCTCTGGAAAAGATGACCACAAGGTGAAGGAATTTCAGATAAAGGATATTGGGGGTGGGGTGGCTAATGGAGTGGTGACATGATTTCACCTCCCTTAGGGAGGCCCTGACCTTTAGCCCTTGTGCAAGATATTCTGTCAAATTTCCACATTTAAATGATTGAGTCGAAAGAATTGCCTTTTATTTTCTGCATTAAAAATGAAACAACTAAATAGGATAAAACCCACAGATATGTATTTCTCCCCCCCTAGTCTTTTCAAGGAATAACAATCCATTTTCACAGTAGGCAGCTTAGCAAGTAAGTACTTGAAACAGAAATGGGTACAAGCCAAAGGTGCCAGTATCACAGACAGTATCATCAGAAATATGTCTTAAAAATCATAACTACTGGGCTGGGGATGTGGCTCAAGCAGTAGCGCGCTCGCCTGGTGTGCGTGCGGCCCGGGTTCAATCCTCAGCACCACATACAAACAAAGATATTGTATCCGCCGAAAACTAAAAAATAAATATTAAAAATTCTCTCTCTCTCTCTCTCTCTTAAAAAAAATCATAACTACTCAGCCAGGTAGCCAAATGGAAATTTTTTTAAAAAATCCACTAGATTGCATTCTATAAAACAAAAATTTCAGAAAATTTAAAATATAAACAAGAAATTTTAAAAACATATTGGAGAAAATACTTATAGCGTATATGAGTGGTCTAGTCTCCTTACTAGATAAGGAATCATTACTAATGCCTAAAGCCTTTTCTCCATTTCATGTGTCTAGTAAGGTCCCTGGTGAGTAATAAGTGTTCAACAAATAATATATTTTAAAAAGCTATATTTCATTGAATGCCCACAGTCTGCATGTATTGTTGCTATTCCTCCTAGTAAACTAACAGGATTTCCCTTTTACCAGAGAGAAAACTGAGCACAGAGCAGGTAGCAAAGACTGGCTTCGAACTCAGGGCTCTGACTCCCAGAGCCTTCTCCCTTCTTCCCTTTCTGCTGCTTGCCTTTATCTGAATAAATGCTCACTTATTTGAATTGAAAGGCAGAAAAATATGTTTAGCTTACTTAATGAGAAATATGACTTCTCTTTTCAAACAACACCTTACTCAGGAGCATGCCTTAAATTCACATAGTGCTGGTGCTTAAGGAAAATAATTTTTACCTTTATGAGGGAGTGGAAAGGCCCACAGAAGCTCCCAGCTCTCACACTAAATTGCTTAATGATTTAGACAAGTTGTTAAGCTGCTCCAAGTCTTGGAATCCTTATTTGTCATACACAGATAATAAAATCAAGGGTACAGAGAGGTTCAGTAACTTGTCCAAGGTCATGCAATGGTAACCACTAGCACAAGGCATCAGACCCAGGCAGCCCATCTTTAGAGCTGGATAGTTCACAGGCTGATGTAATGTTTAGGAGGAAAGGGGTGTAAGCACACTTTGAAAATGATAAAGTGGACACGATGAAAATAAAATTTAATATACTAAGCCTGGTTTTTGTGCAAGAAGAATAAAAAGTGGAGTTCAAAAGGGATTCCTGAGTGTGCCCTTCTTGACCTAATATCTATTTTTAAATTTCTGTATCTTAAAATGGAAGCTGGTAGACAGATAATCCTCTCCTTACCATCCCTTTTACAGTAAACCAATGTGACAGTACTGATTAATGGATCAAAGTCAACATGCCCACAAGTAGGATTTTTATCCAATTACATCCTTTGAAAAATTGCATCTACTGGGGTGGAGTTTGTGGCATGTGTAATAATGAATCATCAAATAGTTAAGATTGGAAAAAGATAGTACCCCCATAAAACGTGGACTCAGCACCTGTTTCATCTCACTGGCTGGAAGCCAGGAGAGTCAGTGCTAATGACATATTTTAATATCATTCATGTGCTTTCCATTGGATCACTGATGAAGCCAGCAGTCACACGAATACCTCAGTGCACCTCTTGGAAGATGATCTTCATAGTCTTTCTCTCTCTCGCATATATTTTATTTTTCTGAACCATTTGAGAGAAGATTACATATATTATGAAAGAGACATGATATAATATTATGAGGCATTAAGGGGGTGACTTTAGATTTTAGAGTTTTGTTAGCTTTTCTTTGCTGTGACCAAAATACCTGATAAGAACAATTTAGAGGAGAAAAAGTTTATCTTGGCTCACAGTTTCACAGGTTCAGTTTGTGGATGGCCAACTCTGGGGCAGAAACATCATGGCAGAAGGGTGAAAGCTGCTCAGTTCATGGCAGCTGGTAAGGAGAGAGGGAGGTAGGTAGGGAAGGAGGGAGGGAGGGAGGGAGAGAAAGGGGGAGGGGTCAGAGACAAGATATAGTCACCAAAAGTATACCTCCAGTGTCCTACTTCCTCCAGCCATGCCCCATCTGCCTTCAATTACCACCCAGTAACCCATTCAAAATACTAATCCATCAACTGGATTAATCCACTGATGAGGTTACAGCTCTCCTAGTCCAATCTCTACTGCTGCATTTCCTAACAATGAGCTTTTGGGGGGGCATTCCTAGATCTAAATCATGCCAAGTATGTTATTTCCTAAGCTCAAGAGTAATCACTTGTTTAGTCAAAGTAAAATTGGTATCAAATTAAGGAATTTTAACACTGATACATGCTTTTATCAAATCTTCAGTCCCTAAATCCAATTTCATAAATTCTCCCAACAGTTCTTTTTATAGCATTCTTATCCCCTTCAGCACAGGATCAAATCCAGGGTAGCTATTGAATTTAGTTGTCATTCCTCATTAGTCTCCTTAATCTGGGACAGTTCCTCAGTCTTTCTTTGTCTTTCATTTCACGGAAAGTTTTGAAGAATAATTGGTCATTATTTTACAAATAACCCCTTAATCTGGATTTGTTGATATTTCCTCATGACTAGATTCAGGTTATGCATTTGGGGCAAGAATACATAGACTGTGTTGTCCCTCTCAGGGTGTCCTCTTCAGAGGCACACAATATTGGTCTGCCCCTGGTTGGCGATATTTATTTTCATCACCCAGTGAATGCATTGTTGAGTTCCTCCATTGGTGTGATAGTCATAAAAATACATGGCTCATATCTCCTGTTGTGAGAAATGTAATTGATGGATTGCCCTGGCTACTGTGCTCAGAATCCATCTATTTGGGAACCAACTGGCTTCCACTGACTTCTTCCAGCCAATCAGTCAATGGCTACATTAGCATTGCAACTCGTATCTTTTAAAAATTTATTCATTAGTGGGTTTTTTTTTTTTTGATTGTTGTTGTTTGCTTTTTTCAAACTCATTATCTACCTCAAGAATCCAGGGTGATTTGAAGAAAAGTAAAAGAGCAAATGCAGCGAGGCATGGCAAGACATTCTAGTCACGCTTACCAGAACTACCAAGCCCATTACTATGAAAAAAATTTCTTCACACTAAGCATCAAAAATATTTCTTCTTCTGTTTGTATATTCATGTATTCTATTTGTGTGCACGTCCAGTAATAGAAAAGTAAATGTTGGGAACTGTTTTTCTGGGTCATAATTTGCTTATATTTTTGTAAATATATAAATGACAGTAGTTTTGCTCTTAAAGGTTAGACAAAGCACACAATAACAGATCTGAGATTTTTACAGACACATTCAAGAAATGATGAGTAAAGTCTTTTAATGCTAACAATCAATCATAAAGGCATTATTCATAATAAGAA